AAATACTGGCAATGCCTTAGCATGAAACACAGCAATGGCACCTAAGGCCACTAACATGAAAGTCACTATGTCACTCTCCATCATGAACTAACACTGTAGCAAATGTCACTTTCACTTAAGAATGTCCTTGATGAGCCAGGCAGTGGTGGCGCACACCTTTAATCCCAGCACTTGGGAGGCAGAGACAGGCGGATTTCTGAGTTCGAGGCCAGCCTGGTCTACAGGGTCAGTTCCAGGACAGCCAGGGCTACACAGAGAAACCCTGTCTCAAAAAAAAAAAAAAAAAAAAAAAAAGTCCTTGATGAACTAGCACACTTATTATATTTATTATTATATCTTGACTGCTAGGTATGTACCTTCATACCATATGATCAGGTAGTAAGTGTGTATAAAACACTTCTACCCTGATGGCTGAATAGGAATGTGCTTTGGGTGTGCTATAGGCTAATGTAGCTGTTTCCATGGTGCCTTTAATTGCAAAGAATAGCTATAATAGGCAAACTAGGCTCACTGAAATGTGACCATCTACTTAAAACGGAGAATGTGAGTCTGAATTGAAAGGACAACACCTAATAGATTTTTTTTTAATTTTAAACAAAAATTCCAAACTTGTAGAATCTATGAACACCCTTATTGAGACCTTGAGATTTTCCTCATAAGCTCACTAGTGATAGCAAATTACCTGTATCCCTGATGGAATTTTAATCTGTGTCTGTTTTCAAATTGAGATTGTAAACCCTGTGAAGGAAGGAACCACTTAATACTCTGTCCTTTTTAAATCATAGCACTGAATTAGACACAGAATAGTTATTCTGCAAATGTTTGTCAACTACCTTGGTATTAACTAAAGTATGAGGTGTGCTTCCATATACACTGAGAACTGGTACTCCAGGCCGCTCTCCACCCTGCATCTGCATCTATCCAGACTCTTCAGCCCGTGCTTCTTTATATACAATTTAGTCAAAATTTATCTTAAGTTAGCTTTTTTAAATTGAAAAACAAGTATTTGCTGCAAAATTAATTCAAATAAAAATAGATTTATTTGTGTGCATGAATGTTTTATCTACATTCACGTGTGTGCACCAGATGTATGGCTGGTGCCCATGAAGGTTAGAAGAGAGAGTCAGATCTCCTGGAACTGAAGTTATGGTTGCTTGTGAGCTATCACATGGGTGCTGGGAATCAAATCTGGATCCGATACAAGAACAAATGTTCTTATACACTTATAAGCCATTTCTCTAACACCCAAATAATTTTTAATGGATATTTAATAACTGTGGCTCTAAAGAAAAGGTTAGCAAGCTATAACTCAAACTGGTCCACCTCCTGTTTTTGTATATAAAGTTTTTTTAGAATACACCATTACCATTTATTATATTTGTTACTTTTCTATCATGACAAAACACCAAGACCAAGGCAACTTATTGGCAAAGTGTCTTGCAGGCTTCCTCTTCTAGAGGACTAATAGTCTATGGTGGGAGAAGGAGAGTGCAGGTGCTAGAGCAGCAAACAAAGAGCATATAGGCAATGCACAAGTCTTCTGAACCGTCAAAGCCCACCCATAGTGACACACTTCCTCCAATACGGCCACACCTCTTAGCTTCCCAAACAATTCTACCAACTAAGAACCAAGTATTCAAACACATGAGCCTATGAAGGCCATTCTCATTCAGTCTACCACACCATCTATTTATGCATTGTCTAGGGTGGTTTTCACTCTAAATAGACTTACCAGAGTTTATGAGACCTCATGGCTCATAAATACTTGAAAATAGTTGCTATCTGGCTCATCATAGATAAAAATTTACCAACCCCAAATTATATTTGAAAAACAAAACGAAACAAAACAAAACAAAAAAAGAAAGAAAAACAATGTTAGCATTTCTTTTCCAATGATAACGAAGTAGCTGGGTATGGCAATGAGAACTTGTAAGCCACCCCATGGAAGGAGGAGTAGAAGGACAAAGAAAGAATTCATGGTTAACCTCCTCTGCATAGGGAGTTCCAAGCCAGGCTTGTCAACAATGAAACTCTTTCTCTAATTAAAAAACAAAAAATGCAGGAACTATATTTTTATACCAATACTATACTTCTTACTTAACGAAAAATAAAAAATTCTCGCTGGGTGGTAGTGCTGTGCACCTTTAATCCCAGCACTTGGGAGGCAGAGGCAGGAGGAGCTGTGTGACTTCCAGGTCAGTCTGGTCTACAAAGTGAGGTCCAGGACAACCAGGGCTGCAAAGAGAAACTCCTACTTGGAAAACCGGATGGATGGATGGATGGATGGATGGATGGATGGATGGATGGATAATTCTATAGCCAAAATATTTAGAAACTTTTAACTTAAATCTAGAAACTTTTGATCTGATACCTTCCTCCAGCCTCCAGGGTTGTATTCTAGCTTTTCTCTTATTGTTTAAGGTTCTACTATGACTACAACAAAAGCCAAATATCCGTCATCACCAAGAACAGGTTCTAAATCAGATGAGGCAGGATTAAGACACTTAGAGACCGTAGGTGACCGAAGATCATTAGGTGATTTCTGCTGCTTAGCCATGAATAAATAACTGGGATGGAGATGGTCATCTTGTCCAGAATAATTACAAAAGCTTGAAAAAAATACATGCTATGACTACTTTCAGACTATGCCACAACAGCCAGACCAGAATGGTAATAATTACAGACAAGGAAACACCTGGCTGGAGACTAGTTCTACAATTCCCTCCTTTCCTGCAAGCACCAGAGAGGAAGGATCCACGTGGAACATAGCAGCCTACAAGGATGAGAAGAATCTGGAAGCTGCAGCAGCAGGAGTTTACAAGACAGAAAGCTGGGAGCGAGCTACGGATCAGCACAAGGATTCCTTTGAGTCTGATACTGAATCCTAAAACACTGAGGAACAAGTGCTATGAAGTAAACAATATCCAAGTTCAGAGAGTACTGGGAGACACTTGAATTTCATCCATCCAGAGCCAAGCTAAAGTTGCCAAGCCTTTAAAGCAATCAAGGCTCCAGAAGGCCTTACTTTGTTACATGTTAGCTTTACTAAAGGCCACTGTATTAGTCATAGTTCTGTAGAGGAACAGAATTTATTCAGTGAAGCTCTATAGAGAGAAAAAAAGAGAAATAAGTTACAGGCTGTGGTCCAGCTAGTCTTAACAATAGCTGTCTACCAACAGAAGGTCCAAAAATCATCAGTCTATGAGGCTAGTTGTCTCAGCTGAACTCCACTATATTCTGGAACCCCAAAGAAGTAGGCTCTAAAGCCAGTGAAGAGATGGATTTGCCAGTGGAAATGAGCTGCAACAGACAAAGAGTAAATGCTTCCTTCTTCCATGTCCTTTATATAGGCTGTCAGAAGATAAAAGGTGGATCTTCCCACCTCAAAAGATAAAAGTGGTTCTTCCTACTTCAAATGATTTAAGAAAAAAAATCCCTCACATGTGTGTATCCAGCCACTTCGATTAGTTAATTCCAGATGTAGACAAGTTGACATCAAGAGTAGCCATCACGGCTACCTTACACCCACCCTTAACAAAGGTTACCAATACTGGAATAGAGCCACCTGATCTACAAATTATTTGGCTTTCCAGCAAAACAAACTTCAACTCTCTCTAAAAGAAGATATTTGTTTGTTTTCTGTTGCTATGATAAACACCACAATCAAAAGCTACTTAGGGAGGAAAAGGGTTTATTTCATCTTACAGATTATAGTCCATCTATCAAGGGAAGCCAAAGCAGAAGCTTGAAGCAGAAACCAGGCAGGAAACTCTGTTTACTGGCATGCTCTATTACTTTTCTAATACAGCCCAAGCCTATATGCCTATAGATGGCACCACCCACAATGGGCTGGGCTACATCAATTAGCAATTAAGAAAATACCTCCCAGACACAGCCACAGGCAAACTTGATCTGGACAATTATTTAGTTGAGGCTATGTCTTACAAGGTGACACCAAGTTTGTTTCAAGTTGACAGCTAGAGGAAGCCAACTATGACAGAAAGCAACAAAACTTAAACCGACAACATAGTATCCATAAGGAAATTAGATTAGAATGACAGAGAAAAAGGACAGTAATGACAGACAATGATTTTAAAACAGCTACCAGAAACATGCCTCTTATAGTTGAGGATGAAGAAGGGGCCAGTGACATGCCTCAGGCAATGACATGGGCCTGATAATCTGAGCCTGACTCCCTAGAACCCACACAAAGGTTAAAGAGCTGACTCCACAGAAGTGTAGTTTGAACTACACAGTGTTGCAAGGCATGTGCACACATATACACACAACGCACACACATACAATTTTTTTTTAAAGAAATGAAAAGGGGAGTCTGAAGGACATTTTGGAGTATAAGAGCATATACAGCTCTCATAACTGTAGCTGGAATCCTACCAGGAAAGGAGACTGGAGAGAGAGAGAACGCCAGGAAGAAATAGTACAGAAATTCTTCCAACTAAGTTCTTAGAGTTCAATTGTTCAAAAACAGTACCATTTTTTTTTAAAGTAAGGGGAAAAAAGCATATGTCACTCCCCTGGCTCCGAATATGCCAAAAAGTAATAATAACTCTAACTTTAAAAAGAAAAAAACATTGTTTTCAATCTTCTGCTTGAAAAGTAAGAATTCACCAAAGTTGAATCCTTATTTTGGGTGAGGCTTTCCTTGCTGGTATCCCTGGCATCTGTTGAGTCTATGTGCAGAGTAATCAAGCACAAACAACATACAGTTAAACTAGTGGAAAAGGATGTTGTCCCAAAACAATTACAGACTTTCCGGTTCACATGTATCACACACTTCAGATTGTATACCTTAGTAAGGAACACAGATTTCCAGGGCAGTTCTGAGTGGAAGACAACGGCACTATGTGGCTCTGAGATGTTACAGGATAAGATGAGAAAATGTGTCCAGTGGAATTAAACACTTATCCCAAGAATGCTCAAAGGGCATCCTCAGAGTTACCTCAAAGTAGACACTTGCACACACAAAAAGTAGTACTTACTTTGAGTCTCCACAAGGTCCAAGGCAACACCAGAAACTGTGTCCATTCCAGAACTGATACAGGATTGGAAGTTTTTTAAGGAGGAGAGAGCTGACTCTACACCACTGAAGGATATGTAACGAGTAGAGCCTGAATTTGTACTGGATCGTCCTGGCATCTTGAAATTGTTACCTAAAATTTCAAACACAACAATAAGCGTTCTAAGTTAGAATAATTACTGTACAGGAAACAAACACAGGCATAGCACTGAATAAGAACTGTATTCTATATTCAGTGCTACATTGTTACTGCGTGCAATACCCAGAGGCCACCAAGGCACTGTGCCATCATCTGGACATCAATAACACACACTCAATTGTAACACGAGGAAGGTAACTATCTTCATTTTTAAAAGAGAATACCCTCTTCCTTCATGCTTCAACTCTACAAAACCCAGTTCTTAGATGCGTAACACATAAAGAAAATAGAAAAAGTGAAAGAAAATAAAGTTTAATGAGATTTTTAAAAAAATCTATAGTTTTTAATGTACCTAATATATATGCATTTTGAACTCTTAAAAGGAAAAAAAAAACTGTTTCTGATAGCCTCCCTGAGTTCCAATAGATTTAGAACTGTAGTTATCCCAGGTTCAATAAAAGCAGAATTTCTATGTAGACCTCTCTTCTTACAGTGGTTTACCTATTATAACCAAAGTTATTGCTCTCATGTTAAACACTTCCTTATTTATACCTTTAGACATCAATTCTTTAAGCTTTGGGCCCCTTGCTAGACATATTTTCTTAAGTCAGGAAACTCCTGAAATTCAAGCCATTCAAAGCAACTAGAAAAGTGCAGAGTCCGCGATAGTTTTAAAATGACAAGCAGGCTGTTGTCCAAGCTGTGTGGCACCATAAAGGAAAATAGTTTTTTGGAATCAGAGATCTAACATGAACCCAGGCTCATGAGATCACAAGCTTACTGACAAGTCCTTCAGAACCTCATTGGAAGGAAAGAAGCCATACTCTTAAGTGTGGTCTAGCTTCTGGTCCATAGTCTGCATCTCTTTTCCTTTCAAGAGCAGGGAGCCATGTGGTATCTCCAGCACTCCCTCCTCCCATAGTACCAGCTTTATTTCACACCTAGACTGCTACTGCAGCTTCTCTAGTACTGCTTTCAGTTAGAGATGTTCATCTTTTCCACAAATAGGTATTGAATGTCTTTACCATGTAAATTCTTAGGCTCGTGAAAAACACAGGATAGAAAAGGGCTAAGGTCTTTTATTTCTGAGGTTATCAGTTTAACATAAACATTCATAATACCACTAATTGCTGACTCAAATAGCTTGGGTGACAAACATTTAATAAGTATCTTCTTAAATACCAGGCAACTTCCCTGAGCATAGGGATATAGTGGCTTTCAAGGTAAATAACCCAAGACTTTTGCTTTCAAATGCTACTTGGTTTATTCTAATTCCATGAAACTCTCATATGCTGGGCAGTAGTCTAAGCTCCAGAAATATTCAGCCTCTGCTCTCCAGGAGTAGTTGGCAGGAACTGGACATGCAAATCTATTGTTGAAACAACATAGATTACTTGTAAAATGGATGGATGGATGGATGAAATGTCTGACTCAGCCCTCAACGTGAGGAAAAGGCTATAAAAATACACAGCAACAACAGTTCGAAAGAGCACACAACTCTCTAGGCAGCTACTTCTTGATTACAGAAAACGGGCCTTTCTCTACTTTTGCTGTTCTGACAAGATCTCACTAGGTAGCCCACACACGCCTCAAACACATGGCGACCCTCTTGCCACTCAAATGCTGAGACTACAGGCATGACCCACCCACCAGATCTAACTTAGAAATACTCTATGACAGCTGATACTTCACACGCCTGACATTTCCTCATCCATTTGCACTAAAGACCAGAGCTAAAGACGTTGATTGCTACTTCACTGAGGAATCGTAACCCACCACGAAGGGGCAGCCCTCCTCATCCATTACCCTCTGTCCCTGTGTTCTGCTTTCTTCTCAGGGAGAATGAACTAACTGTGCCCACTGAGACCAGCTCCGCTCCATATCAGACCCTCTCCTTTCCTTCTCTCTGTATTCCTCCCTGCTTTCCTCCATCAGCAGTTTTCTCCTAACCCACACCACTCTCCATAGCAAACCAAGGAAATCTTTCTCTAATCTTAAAGGAAAGCATCCTCCCGCCTTCCTCTTTGATTACTTCCCATGCTTCTGGGCTAATCCTGGCAGCAAAACTCTCCTCTAGACCTGCCTCGTTTGTCTCAGAGTCCTACCTTCCAGTCCTGGCCTGGGAGTCGCCAGGCTCCCACCTCTCCCACTTCAGGGGACCTGCTCTCAAAGCCAGGGCTGCAGTCTTCATGCCTTCCTCAGGGAGCATTTCCGTCTGCGTTCCTTCAGACTCTTAGTTCTTTCCATCTCTTCCAAGTGAGCTGTCTAGAGCCCCAATCCACAACTGCTAATCCTCCCCACACCTTCACACATACTTATTCTTTTCTCCACCTCCTCCAATCGCATCCGTCTGCTAAGGTCTAAATGTTGGGTCCTCGTCCCCACTTTACATATTGAAATCCTAAAGTCCAAGATGGTGGTTTTAGAAGATAAGACCTTTGGAGAGGTGACTAGATCCACCCTCCAGAATCAAAATAGTCCCTTATAACGCATGCTCTGAGAGCTCTCTTTTTTTCTACCACCCAAGAAAAGAGCAAGTACATGCCATTTACAAACCAGAAAACCGTCTTCATCAGACACTGAATTTGATGGTTAAGTTAGTCTTGGAATTCTCAGCCTCTAAGATGGAAAGATATTAGTTTCTGATTCTTTTAAACCTCCTAAGATATAGTATTTGGTTTATGGACATCTGAACATTCTAACACTACTCCTTGGGGCTTGATTTAACCTAGAGTTTGGAGGGGCCTTCCCCAGGGAACATTTAACATCATGTGGGGACATTTTTGACTGTGGCACTAGAGGAGGTTGGGGTGGAGGGAACACAGACTAGCATCCATGAGCAGAGGTCAGATACTGATAAAATTCTAGCAAATACAGTACAGTCTCTCACTACAAAGAATCATCTGAAGACAAAACGTAATCATCACATTGGTTAAGAAACACTGACTTAAGCCAACCTCTTCTTGGATCCTCTTTCCAATAAGATTGATCTTTTTGTTCCCAGTCCTACAGTTTCCAAGACAATCTACAACAAAATTATGCATTTCCTGAAGTCTAACCAGGCTATTGGGCTCAGCACACTATTTTGCTTCCCTTATATTCCTGAAAGAGTTGTTGTCAGTTAAGCCATTTTTAATGTAAATAGGAAAACACTGCTTCACATATTTCTGTACAGCATTAAAGTAGGCATAGAGCAAACAAACCGAAAGTTTGACCTAATCCAGGGTCGTCTCATACAACTTCAACAGAGTTATGTCTCCTTTTTCAGCACGCCAGCATGCACACACCTTTCTCTCTGAAGCCTTCCCTCGCCCATAGCTCCTTCTTTTCCACATGTCTCCACTATATAACTTAACACGGCTAATTGCTGACATCTGCCATTCCTTCATGCTGGAATGTGCTCCTTAAAACTGGAACACACATTAGGAGATATAAAACGTCTCCTTGCGAAAATGAAATGATCAGGACGAATTCGTTAAGTTACCAAAGTAACAATAAAAACTACGACTATTTCTGTGTCACCACCAGTATGCATGCCCAAAAAAGGTTGCCCCCCGCCCAGCTTTCCCCTCTTCTTTTACACCGAGGCTACCTTACCTCCACCTGCAGAAGTGAAATGGCACCTGTGGCCTTGAGTACCTCTGAGCTATCATGCCTCAGTTTTAAAAGTCAGTTCAAAACAGGTTTTTGTTGTTGTTGTTTTGGTTTGGTTTGATTTCATAGTGGTAATCTCCACGAGAGGCGGCCGTGAGCATAACCTGCCTCCGTCTAGTTACTGCGGGTGAAGAGGACCAGGCCCAGGTCCCCTGAGCACAGAGGGAGGCGACAACACCCGCTAGACGCCTGTCGCCGTTCCTCCTGGATCTTACCTGGCTGTCCCTCCTAGCTCAGTGATATCTCGCCGAACATCGCACGCCAGACCCCGATTCCTCTCCTCAGCCCGCTTCTCCTGTGGCTGAAACGCCCCGCGCGCGCTCTGCGTCATCACTTGGCGCCCGCGAGCGATCACATGATGCCCGGGCCCGGGCCACCGCCCCTCGGTCACGTGACGGGCTGGGGAAGCCAGCACAGAAACCTGGTCCCAGCCGCTGACGCTCTGCTGCCTGAGACTCTAGGGGATCCCTGGGGCGGGAGAGGGGGACCCGGGTGCCCAGTCCACGCTGCCAGCGTCGGACGACTGACAGGTGAGTCGGAGGCGCGCTTGTGGGTTCGCGGCCCTTCCCTTCCCCCGTGGGCCACGTCGGGTTCTGTCCCGGGAGCCACCCGGAAAACCTAGAGCTTGCAGGGTTGGGGTTGCACGCCTGATGTTCACCTACGCCTTCATGGAAATCGCTCTTGCACTCTTCTTTGAGTGATGCTCAGCTACTTGGCCCATAGCTGAGCTTGCAAATTTCTTGGAGCGGTGCCTTACTAATGTGGCTGATCTTTCTTCCACGTACTCTCCAGAAAATCGAGTAGTCACTGAAGGGAGGGTGGGCAAGAGGGGGTTGAATAAAAGTCCTGTCATGCACTGTGAGTTTCTGCAAGTCCCTCCTCTACACCCTATTCCCCCTCATTCACCTGAGACATGGTGCCGTATCCCTTGTATTGGAGACAGGTGATTCCACTTGGTTCTGCTTCTTCTATGATAGGAAAATTAAAAGTTAGACTCATAAAAGAAAAAAGTTGAACTCTTGATTTCTATATAGAAGAGGAATAGTGAAGGAGGTTTATATTGCCTCCGTCTACAACCAGGGACACATTCCTTAGGTCAGCTCTTTTCAACTTGTGGGTCCCATGACCCCTTTGGCAAATCTCTGTTTCCATAAACGTTTACATTATGATTCTTAACAGTAGCAAAATTACAGTTGCTAAGTAGTAACGAAAATAATTTTATGGTTGGGGTCACCACATATATTAAAAGGTCAGAGAGGATAGTTGTCTTAGATGTTAAGAATTAATGAATCAGGCCTCGAGAGATTGCCCAATGACTAAGACTTCTCTTCCTGAGGGCCCAGGTTCAATTCCAAGTACCCATATGGTGATTCTCAACTGTCTATAACTCCAGGTCCAAATGATTCAACACCCTCAGACATACATGCAGACAAAACACCAATGGACATAAAACAAAAATAAATATAATTTTAAAATTTCATAACTCAGGCTGGAGTGATCCAGCTTATTCCAGAACTTTTCTGGGAGAGCATCCATTAGGGTTTGAGACTGCTTTCTTTAAGGATCTGAGGTTTTCTATTGAAAAAATTAAATCTATCTTCTTTTGTCCTCTACACTTTAGTCTACTCAAGAAAGTTTGTTCTGTACTTACTGGGTAACAGGATACCATTCTTGAAAACATGTTCCTTTGACAAGGGGTTCTTCCTATAGAAAAAAATTAAGGTTCCATGCCAAGATCCTAAAACTAAAGCTGCCACACTTTGTAGCTTATAAAATAATATTAAGAAGGGAATTAAGGCCAGGACGTGATGGCGCATGCCTTTAATCCCAGCACTTGGGAGGCAGAGGCAGGCGGATTTTTGAGTTCTAGGCCAGCCTGGTGTACAGAGTGAGTTCCAGAACAGCCAGGGCTACACAGAGAAACTGTCTACAAGAATAAAAGGAGAGGGGGAGAGAGAGGCGGGGGGATTAAGAAAATAAATAAATAAATAAATAAATAAATAAAGGGAATTTAGATCTGTGGTTCCATCCTATGCCATTAACAATTCAATTCAACCTAGAGTGAGAGTACTGGTGTTTGCAAGTTTTCTTCATTCATTGTGTGAAAGCTGTCTCCAAAAGAATCATTTAATATAACATCTTCTACAATGTTGTTTTAAACATCATTCAAGAAAGGCTCAGCTGACATTAAAACTCTCCACATGACATCTTGTAAAATTCACTGCTTTTGTCTTAAATGATTAAGTATCTGTAATGAAGGTCATTTGATTCTGTAGCTCTGGATCTGTTTAGAAAATATTCTAGTAAAATAACTTGCATGAAAAATATGACTAGTCCTGGTTAGATCTACTACATCATAGTGCAACTAGGTGTGGTAATGTGACTAACTGATTTATTCTTTCATTTGATACTGACTTGACATTAGTCTTCAAAAATGTAGCAAGACCCTTGCATTGTGAGGGATTTGTTTTAAACTCTGTTCTTCTTGAGGTAGGACAGATTACAAGCAATGATATTTCACTCAAGAGGGAAATTGTAATAGGTGTTTTTCTTTTACATTAAAAAATTCTATAAAAACACTTGTTTTAATACAGGTTTAGATAAGACAATCACCTTAGTTAAAGGTCCACATGTTTGTTGAATGAATGCTAAATATGTTTGATTATTTTCTTATGACTTTTTAGAGTAATCAGTGTCTTTGTTTATATAGAATACCATTATGAAGCTTTAGCTAGCCTGGAGCTCACTATGTACACAAGGGTGGCCTCAAACTCATAAGAATCTGTTTGTCTCTGCCTTTGAAGTGCTGGGATTAAAGGGGTATGGCACCATACCCAGCCTTGAAGTATGATCTTAAGGGATAAGACACACAAGTCTTGATTTACATCATCATCTCAAGCCTGATGTTCCCTGAATGTGTACATGCAGATGCTGGTCTGTCTATCTGTCCCTTGGGAGAGATGGGGAAGAGGGCAGGTATCACTGCTTTGCTGTAAGCTGTGTCCTCCAGCATCCAACTGTCTGCACTATAATAGTATGTGCAATTTAGGCAGCAGTTATGCCTGCTAATCATAGCTTGGCCCTTGCTTTGTGAGGGTGGAGTTTTATCCTAACTTTGGGTGAGTTTGGTCTTCAGTGGACTTCAGTGTGTCATCATTTTACCCATTGTGGATTCTTTTCTCCCTTTCCATGTCAGGCCATATCAGTGCAGGAAAATAGAATTGCCTAAAAACTCTCCCTGTTCCTTAGCAGTGTAGTTTAAGATGCAGATATCACCAAGAATACTAAAAACACTTGTTAAGAATGTATGGCATAATGTGTATTACAGGGTCCCCTAGCGAAAGACTTCCAGGCGACTGTAGTGACCTCTCAGCATCCTTTGCTTGCAGACAGGATCCAGGACCATTAGCTCCATGTCTATGTCTTATTCACTCTGCTCCAGGCACCCTATGCACCCTACTGTTTCTTAGCACTGTCTTCGTTACTTTACTATTGCTGTGAAGAGGTACCATGACCAAGACAACTTATAGAAGAATTTATTGAGGGGTTATGGATTCAGAGGGTGAGTCCATGATCATTGTGGCAGAGAGCATGACAGCAGGCGGGCATGGTGCTAGAGCAGTAGCTAAGAACTTACATCCTGATCCAAGGCACAAGGCAGAGAAAGAGAGAGCTAACTGGGAGTAGTGTGGAGTTTTTAAACCTCAATTTTTAAACTGCCCACCCCAGTGACATACCTCCTCCAAAAAGACCACATTTTTTTTAATCCTTCCCAAACAGTTCCACCACCTGAGGACCAAGAATTCAAATCAATGCTTATTCAAACCACAAGCACAGTTGCCCCATGTCTGCCTTTAGACCTCTGTACTTACTTATAAGCTGTGTGTCAAAGGCCTTTCTCCTGGGTCTGATCATCATCTATTGATGTGGAACTAACTTCCCCACAGCCTACTAACTTAAAATTCACACACACACACACACACACACACTCACACACACACTCACAACTTATCTCATCTGAAGGCATAATTGCAAATGAGGAAAATTCACTTTCCAGCTCCCTCATGGAACTGATAGCAAGGCTTGGGGCTTTGTCTCAAAGGCCTTTGCCCAGGACTCTTACCCCACACAGTGATCATTTGTTTTTCCAGAACTAGCAAGCTAGAGAGAGAGAACCCAAGCCAGAACTCAATCCTTTTGTAATCTTCCTTCTGAAACGGTAGCTGTGGCTGCTATCAAATCTTTTCTGGGAGAGATTCCATAAGACATCCCCTACTCAAGGGAAGGAGCCTGTCTAGGGCTGAGTAACAGGAGGCAGAGGTCATTGGGCATCATCTAGAAACTGGGAACCATTCCTAGATACCCTTCCTGCTTGTTCCCTCTCCTCCTTCGATCTCTGTTCAGATAGCCTCTTATCTGAATTACTCTGTATACTCCAGTGTGTGTTCTGTCTTTTAATCAGGTTTCTCTTTACATGATTTATCGAAGCCTGTACGTGTTGGCTAACTTCTATCTCCTGCTCTCAGCAGTGTATAGACATCATGATAACTGAAGCTCACTACTGTATCTTCAGATCCTACAACAATGCTTGGCATATAGCAAACACTAGGTAAACACTTGCTACATGAATGACCCCAATTAACAGTGGGTAAACTGTAAAAGCAATTCACTGAGCAAGCATTATAGAAATCCATAGTCCCATAATTGAATCATCAGCAGATCAATAATAGCAACAAGAAATTAGATCCTCCTAGCTTTCACACCACAGTCTGTAGTTCTTGCCGTTGCCCCCACGCCACCCCTGCCCACATGAGCTGACTCCAGTCTGAAGGAAGCTGTAGCAGCTCTCAGAATCAACATTCTGAGTCAGGAAGCCGGAGGTCAATCAGGGCAAGGAAAAGACTTCCCCTCCCCACTTCTCTCTTGTTAGCTGAAGGTAAAAACTACATCCTAGAAGCCCCACCATAGACTTTCTCCTAAAAGGCACTGCTCCAAAACCAGATCACATGTTCAATGTGAGCCTCAAGGGAGTCAGGAAAGTAAGAGTTGACCGCTTTGTCTTCTACAGTGAGAAGGGAGCTGGACACAGGAAATATCATTGGGGAGGGAACAAAGAGCTGTTGCCATGACACCCCCATTGATACAGACATTTCTAAATATTGACTCTGACAGAGACTTCCAAGGGACATATAGAAAACCTTAGCGAGGGTTACAAAGAGCTTCTCAGTAATCAATAACTGTGACAGAAAGCTCATAACAGGAGGGAACCTGCTGCAAGCACTGGGAAATGTTTTTCCGTGGCTGTAAAAGAAACATTCTCATTGGCTCTCAGCAGCCTTTTTATATTCTAATTTTACCTTTTGAGCTAAGTCCTCACTATTAAATTATTTATCAGTTGAGTCTCATGTTAGAAGACTAATGGGAAAGTAAAAGTTGTCATTGACATTTTCCAAAACATTCTATTGATTGTGAATTTCTCATCATGCATCCCAGTCCCACTCGTCCCCCTTCCTCTCATATTTGCCTTTTGCTCTTACAGCCTCTCCTCCAGCATGCACACACACACACACACACACGCACACTTCTGTCCACACATCTTCGCCTGCAATGTGTTCATTGCACTACGTCATCGGTCAGGCTTGAGATCCCTGGCTTTTGTGACACCATCAATATTGAATCCTCACTGGGATTCCTCCCAGTTATCTTGTCGTTGCCTTCTGGTCATTGACAAAATTTTAATGAGGTTCTTCACCCAGAAACCCCAGAAATATCAAATACATTCATTTTATTTTATTTTATTCATCATCACCCTAATTGTTGATACCAACACAAAGAGAAGTACAAATTTGAGGACAGTTAACTCTCCTGATGCTGAAAATAAAGCTGGCTTCTAGAAGGCGGTAGATGATGATGTGGCTAAGTGGGTTTCAGTTTGTGACTCACCATCTGCATTCCTCGCCCATCATTCTGTTAGGCTGTTGCCTTCTTCATCTGCTTTCAAGAGCTGTTAACGTTTCTTAATTCAATCCTCTTGTCTGCCTTCTGCATTACAAATCTGACTTCCAAAGTATTGGTCATAGAAAAGGTTTTAATTGTTATATTCTAAGATCTATTTTTATAGCTTCTGGGTGACTTTCTCAAACTCTAACTTCCTAGAACTTGGACCTACTAAATATCACCCAGCATAATCTGACCACTCTCCCAACAGTAGTCAGTAAAGGGTCCAGCCTGTCAAGCAAATGAGTGTCTTCCCTGTTAATCTTGACTGCACTCCCTAGCACTCCATGTCTTTTCTCTGGGGCTTTGTGCTCAGCTTGCTGCAGGCTGCTCATAGGGACAGAGATCACTCCTTACAGTCTTCATACGGACTCACTTTCCATGCAGACTAACATCCTTAACCTCCTATGTATTTACTGCAGGTGTCCTCAAGACCAGTGTGATGGCTTGAATAAAAATGGCCCCCATAGGCACATAGAGGGTGGCATTGTTAGGAGGTGTGGCCTTGTTGGAGGAAGTATGTCACAGGAGGCAGGCTTGGATGTTTCAGAAGCTCAAGCTGTCTCTTTCTGGTGCCTGCAAATCCAGATGTAAAACTCTCAGCTACCTCTTCTCTTCAGCACCATGTCTACCTGTATGCTGCCATGCTTCTTGCCATGATAGTGGACTTAACTTCTAAGGTGTAAGCCAGCTCCAATTAAATGTTTTCTTTTATAAGAGTTGCCATGGTCATGGTGTCTCTTCACAGAAATAGAAGCCCTAAATAAGACAGCTAATCAATCTCTACTCTTTAATGTTTCTGAGTTCACATCAAAATTATCTTGGGGACTTATAGGAAAAGATGCTTAAGGCTACCTCCACCCTCCATTGCAGAAACACTAAGATTCTCCATGATTATGTTACACCACCAGACTTGTGAACCACTGCACTAGAAGCTGGGTGCCTAAATATCTTCAACTCCAGGGCTGGAGAGATGGCTCAGTGGTTAAGAATACTACTAGAATGTTCCACAAAAGGTCCTGAGTTCAATTCCCAGCAACCACATGATGGCTCACAACCATCTGTAACCATGGGATCTGATTACTTCTTATGTGCATGAAGACAGAGCACTTATATATTTAAAATATATGAATAAGTAAGTCTTTAAAAAATCTTTTCTGCTATTATTGCAAAGAGGTTCTCAGAACAGAGTGGTTGGGTAAGAAAATGTGTTTTCGCCTTCAAGAACTTTTAGAAGAGTGACCTGTTAAGCACGATTGCAGTAGTTTGTATGCTGGGCAACAAATCATCCTTAGTATACTGGAATAAAAGAAAAATGAGTAGTCGATTTTGCTTATACTTTGTTTAGTACTGATAAAGCATCTCCACAAGAGTGTAGAAACTGGTGTCTAAAATTTTATTTTGTTACTTTTTATGCATATGTGTGTGCACATCTGTATACATGTTACAGGGGTGGGCACTGCCCATGGAAGCCAGAAGAGGGCATTGTATCCCCTGGAGCTGGAGTCACAGGTGTGAGCTTGTGTAAGTGCTAGGAACTCTGCAAGAGTAACAAGCACTGTGGAGCCATATCTCCAGCCCATGTATTTCAGAAGGACATACACATTTCTTTAACAATTATTAACTTCTCTCTTTTTTTTCATATAGGTTCTTTAATGGAGCAGCCATTTGTCCTACAGATCTGGCTTCATGTCATGATCCACAGACCCCAGCTCTGAAGTCAGTCATTCCCACCCCTCAGGTGTGGAATAGCCAGTCACTCTCATGATGTTGGACTTCCTGGCTGAGAATAATCTCTGTGGCCAGGCGATCCTGAGGATTGTCTCCTGTGGCAACGCCATCATTGCTGAGGTGCTGCGGCTCTCTGAGTTTATTCCTGCTGTATTCCTGCTGAAAGACCGGGCTGACCAGCAGAGATATGGAGACATCATCTTTGACTTCAGCTACTTTAAGGTGCGTTCCCTGTGGCCGTGACGTTCCCATCAGTTTTACAAAAGCAGCTTTTCTCTGGGAGCCATGAGGCGTGAAGTGGCCCAGTAATTACAGAGCATTAAAGACAGCTTTTCTTTTTCTTTTTCTTTTTTTTTTAAAAAAATTGGATATTTTATTTACATTTCAGATGTTATTCCCTTTCCCCATTTCCCCCTCACCTAGAAACTCCCTATGTCATCCCCCTCCTCCCACTTCTATGAGGATGTGCCTCCACCCACCCACCTACTCCTGCCTTCTCACCCTCTTATTCCCTAACACGGAGGCATCTAGCCTTCACGGGACCAAGGACTTCCTCTCTTACCTATGCCTGACAAGGCTATCCTCCCCTACATATATAGCTGGAGCCATGGGTTCCTCCCTATATACTCCCAGGCTGGTGGCTTAGACCCTGGAAGCTCTGGTTGGTTGGTATTGTTGCTCTCCTCATGGGGCCACAAACTCCTTCAGCTCCTTCAGTCTTCTCTCTAACTTCTCCATTGGGAACCCCTTGATCAGTTCAATGGTTGGCTGTGAGCATCTGCTTCTGTATATGTCAGGCTCTGTCAGACCTCTAAGGAGACAGCTATATCAGGCTCTTATTAGCATGCACTTCCTGGCATCCACATCAGCATCTGCCTTTGGTGAATGCACATGGGATGGTTACCCAGGTGGAGCAGTCTCCAGACAGCCCCTCCTTCAGTTTCTGTCCCACACTTTGTATCCATGTTTGTTCCCATGAGTATTTTGTTACTCCTTCTAAGAAGGACAGAAGCACCCACACTTTTGGTCTTCCTTCTTCATGAGCTTCATGTGGTCTGTGAGTTGTATCTTGGGTCTTGTGAGCTTTTGGGCTAATATCCACTTATCAGTGAGGGAATACCATGTGTGTTCTTTAGTGACTGGGTTACCTCACTCAGGATGATATTTTCTAGTTCCATCCATTTGCCTAAGGAGTTCATGAATTCATTGTTTTTAATAACTGAGTAATACACCATTGTGTAAATGTACCACAATTTCTTTATCCATTCCTCTGTTGAAGGACATCTGGGTTCTTTCAGCTTCTGGTTATTATAAATAAGGCTGCTATGAACATAGTGGAGCATATGTCCTTGTTATATGTTGGAGCATCTTCTGGGTATATGCCCAGGAGTGGTATAGCTGTGTCCTCAGGTAATGCTATATCCAGTTTTCTGAGGAACCACCAGACTGATTTCCAGAGTGATTGTACCAGCTTGCAATGCCACCAACAATGGAGGAGTGTTCCTCTTTCTCCACATCCTCGCCAGCATCTGCTATCACCTGAGTTTTTGATCTTAGCCATTCTGACTGGTATGAGGTGGAATCTCAGGGTTGTTTTGATTTGCATTTCCCAGATGATTAAGAATGTTGAACATTTCTTTAGGTGCTTCTTGGCCAAAAGATAGCTTTTCAACCTAAGTTAACATCAAGTCCTAACTATAAAATAAAGAGAAGGAAAAGTACTGTGTAGGAAGTCCTAGTGGAGTATGAACCAATTAAAGGGAACAACTTATAACCTTGAAACACATTTAAAAGCATGCTAATCTTGGTTGAGATTCCTCCAGGGGGATTTTGATTTTAGGCTTCCATTACCCCTTACTTTTTGTTGTTCTGCTTTAGTTTTGATGTTTAAGAACCATAGAGCATAATTTTAAGATACCCTGGACATGTTTCTAGGAGATAGGCCATTACTGACTTTTAACACAAGTATGTTTTCCTTCTCAGGGTCCAGAGTTCTGGGAAAGCAAACTGGAAGCCAAACCTGAGCTACAGGATTTAGATGAAGAATTTCGGGAAAACAACATAGAAATCGTGACCAGATTTTATTTAGCCTTTCAAAGTGTGCATAAATACATTGTAGACTTAAACAGGTATGGATGAATTTTGTAACAGCTTATTCTGGTAGAATGGCAGGGACGGAACCCAGGAGAACATGTCTGCCTTTCTCAGTTCTGAAGTTAATTCTCCTATGCTGTACATCTCTGTAGCTTCATTATACTTTCTCATTCCTGTGAAAGGCCAGAATAAACTTCCTTGACCCTGTCATGCAGCCTTCAGCCCTTCAGTTTGTGATCTATATAACGCTGTAGATATAAAGTCAATTTATAAAGTAACAATTTTGTTTGGTTTTGTTGTGTTATTTAAAGATGGGTTTTCACCGTGTTGCACAGACTAGTCTGGAATTTACTATCCTCCTGCCTCCATCTCTGGAGTAAGTGGGACAAGCCTGTTCCAGTAGGCCCGGCTTGCTCACATTAGCAGTTGTTAAGAGTTTACCAGTTCATTGAGCTTTAGCCACTATTTCATGTTCCTATGCCATTGCTTCTGAGCTCCTTCTGTTTTGTAATTCAGGAGGAGAGAATAGTCCTTTCATTTGGACCAACCATAGAGTGAACCTGTGGCCCCAAATTACCATGAATTACAGCACATAAGACACTGCAGTTCATAAGCACAGCAAGGACTAGAGGAGCTGTAGCCAGAATGCCGGCTGTCCTGCCTTGTTTTCAGAAAATCTTTCCTCCCTCAAAGATGTTACACTGTCTGCTTACGTTAGTACTTGGCATTTCACGTGCAGGTACCTCGATGATCTCAATGAAGGAGTTTATATTCAGCAAACCTTAGAAACTGTGCTTCTCAATGAAGATGGAAAACAGCTTCTAGTAAGTAATATTGACTGTAAAGTACATATTCAAGAGTATGAAACAGCCGGATGTGGTGGCACTTGACTTTAACCCCAGCACTTGGGAGGCAGAGGCAAGTGGATCTCTGTGAGTTTGAGGCCAGCCTGATCTACACAGTAAGTTCCAGGATTGCCAGAGCTAAATAATAGAGAGACCTTGTCTCAATGATGAGGAGGAGGAGGAAGAGGAGGATGATCAGCATCAATATATACAGAGTACCATTGCTCAAAGAAAAGAAAATAGCCCGATAGTTATCTTCTGAGTGTAGGATATATGAGTATTGAATGAATTTACTAATGGAAGAAAGGGTTGCATTAGGTTATGATCTTCCTGTGTGTAGGAAGTCCATCTTTTTTTTTTTTTTTTTTTTTTGCAAGTGAGACATCGAACTGGTACTTGGTACATGGTGACCATTTAAGAAACGTCTGTTAGAGCCAGTGTAGTGGCCATGTCTATCGTCCCAGCACTTTGGAGGTAGAGCTAAGAAGTGTCGTTCCAGGTCATCCTTAATCATAGAATTAAGATTCTATTCTGTATCCCAAGCAAGATAATCACTATGAATTAAATCTTATCTTGAGTTAATTTTTGAAGCTCATTCTGCACAGTAGCTAAGAGTTCTTTGCAGAAACACATAACATTTACCTTGAAATCTAAATACAGCTTTCAGGAGGAATGTGGCCAGAGTGGTCATTTGTACCACGGTGAATGTTACTCCTTACAGACAGGTAGTCTTGTGAGTTTGGCCTTTGTCCTTTTCTTTCATAGTGTGAAGCCCTGTACTTATACGGAGTTATGCTGCTTGTCATCGACCAGAAGATTGAAGGAGAAGTCAGAGAGAGAATGCTGGTTTCTTACTATCGATACAGGTATTCCTGGCCTAGTCTGCACATCCTCAAAATACTGATGTGTATGAAATGCATTGTGTGCTCCTGTGGTGTTCAGAGTGGTGGCCTGTGGTGAAGGATGCTAAGTACACACATCTTCTGAACACCTGAAAGAATATAGCTGTTTCCTGTTCATGTGTCCTAATTAACAGATTACATTCCATGAAAACTATATACCACATCTGAAATATTTTATCTAAAACAGCAATGTAGAGAATGTCTTGACCATGACAATTATGTAGTTACTACATGAAACAGGAGCCTGAACTTGGAATGTTTTAAGTTGAGGACAGGTTAAGGAATTTTGAAGTTCTTAACAGATATCCTTTTGCTTTGGAAGTTTTCCTTTTAGTTTTCAAATTAGACTCCTTGGCACACACAAAGAAATGAAGGAGCTGTCTGCTATCGTCCTGGTGTGGATGACTGAAAGCTTATCATTCTGGATTAGGTTGAAAGTGGATTCCTCCCCCCTCCCCACCCCTCCCCCATACGTGCGTAGACACAGAAATAACATCTCAGGTCTTGTGTTACATGAGTCTGTGCAGAGCTCTGTGACTGCAGGACGTGGAGTCACAAGGAGCCTCCTTGCCATCTTTTTAACTTAGCACCTCCCATAGAACTTTTCAGTTTCTTGAAGAAATGTGTCCAAAAAATAGATACATGGGGATGGAGAAGTGGCTTAACAAGAGTTAAGAGCGTTCACAAACTCCCAGAAGACCCAAGTTCATTTCCCATTTCTATCATCTTCATTTATCCTACTTATGTAAGATAATTTTACTCATAATTATTAACATCCGTCTATCTTGAGACACCAACTCAAACCCTGCTGTGGTCTTCTGTCATGTATTCCAAACACTATTGCTTGCTTTTACATTTGGAAAGTATGTTGAGACAAGTACAGCTCCAAGGATTTGGAGAGTGAGTTGTAGACCCTTACAGAGAACCAATATGTACCATTCATACAGGGTTTTCTAATGTATCCTTTTGAGTTATAAGTTCTAATGGATCCATTGCTGTTTCCAGATGGAGCCCTTCACTTTTAGACTTATGTGTTTGTAATGTGTGGTTTCTTTGATTCTTTGTCTCCCGTTGTGAACTTGACTCAGTGCTGCCCGATCCTCTGCTGACTCAAATATGGATGATATCTGTAAGCTGCTACGAAGCACAGGGTATTCCAGCCAGCCAGGAGCCAAACGACCACCCAACTATCCTGAGAGCTATTTCCAGAGAGTGCCTATCAACGAGACCTTCATCAGTATGGTCATCGGACGCCTGAGGTCCGATGACATTTACAACCAGGTAGGAATCAGGGGGCCTCCATAACTCAAAAGAGGGAATTTCCCTTTTTCCTCAGTTACTCCTTTTTTTCTTCCCTCTAGTGAGTCAAACAGCAGGTTGAAACTATTTTTAAAAAGCTTTTGAGTAGTGTTACAGGGTCAGGGAAGGAACTATTAAGTCTGGGAGACTCAGAGGTCTCAGAGAGGGGATAAGATGAGAGCAGTTGGAAAGAGGTGCATTCTTTTTAAGTCATCTGTTCAAGAAACAGTTACTGAGAATGTGTGTGTGTTCATTGATGGGCTAGGTGCTGGGGATGCATCACCAAGGACGGTAGGCTCTCTCCGCACCCAGGGTGGACTCGTAGCTTAGGAAGGAGACACCCACCAGGCCGGTGATGGTACAAGAACCTGCACAGTAACTTGGGGAAGCCAGTGGGGCATGCAGCCGAGCCACCAGGATGGCAGCTGATGACAGAATGGAGCAGAAGGCCAGGCTAGACAGCTGGCAGCCTGAGCAGACCTGGAAAGCCCCTGCAGCATCTTAAAGTTAACTCAACTCCTCACCAGTGTGCGCATTGCTAAGAAAAGCCCGAAGAGCATATTCGTGCTCTGACTTCTCTTCAGGCTGTGGAGCTCCTGCTCCTTTACTGGAAGGACTAACCATTTGACTTCATTCTGGAGGCAGAGCTGGACATGATTTCATAAATATCTATATTACTATAAAGTAGGATGTCACTGTCATAGAGCAAACCTGCCCTGGGACAGCTCTTTTTGGTGACCAATTCCTTTTTTGTACATTATATTAAGTATAAGTGAGACTTTTTGATTCTTGGGGGCTTTTCTTAAAACATTCAAAATCAGACATTATGTGCCGACATAAGGACTTTATATTTTTTGCCATTTGCTGAGAGTTCAGTCTAAATCAGCCGCACAGGAGATTTGTTTGCACACCATTTTCTCTGTTGCACATGACAGCCCTGCAGAGTGGACATTGTTACCTCCATGTTGCTGTGGAGGAAGCTAAGCCTTGGATACCTTTCTAAGGTCCTTTCTAAGTCACACTCTTACCAGAGCCACCATTTGAATTCCGATGTGCATGAAATCAGGGTCCAGGCTGTTTTCTCAGCATCCCTCATCCCACTCCTCTCCTTCCTACTCAGTCCACAATCCATTTCTTAAGGTGCTGTGTTACTGTTTCTCCTTCCCTCCTGACCTTCATTCACAGAGGGTTAAGCTGTGTTGGTTCTGTGTGTCAGCCGCTCCGTCCTGCACTTCTTCCAACTCATCCCTGGTTCTGATGGGTGGATCTGATTCTCTCTTGTTTCTTGGTATTTGGAAAGGGGCCTGAAAAATAATTTCTGCAAAATTTGAACTTTAGGAGACAGTCTCATCCAGCTAAGACAATCTGGGGAGAAAAGATCTGGGCGAACACATCTGGGGAAAGAAATGGGGTATTCTGGTTCCAGCCCCAGGCCCTTTCTAAGGAGATACACATAAACGTGTACAGAAAATCTGGGATAAGATGTGGTGTGCACACTCTGATGGAGCCACACCCACACCACACAACAGCTCAGAACCTCAACACTTTTGTGTAGAGGACAGAAGGAGGGGTTAGGTCAGTGGTTCTCAACCTGTGGGTCACAACTCCTTTGGGGGTTAAATTACCCTTTCTTATCAGTTGCCTAAGACCATCAGAAAACACAGATGTTTGCATTATGATTCATAATAGAAGCAGAATTGCAGTTATTAAGTAGCAGTAAAAACAGTGTTATGGTTGGGAATCGCTACAACGTATGGAACTGTATTAAAGGGTTGTAGCATTAGAAAGGTTGAGAACCACTGGGTTCGATAGTCTGGATACGAGGTCTCTGTAGGTGAGCAATCTCAGGTTAATTAATTTATCTAGGAGAAGGCTGTGGTGGCTAGGTTTTGCACACATTGCCAACATGCGCACTCTGACCAGAGGAAGGCTTTACTGTCCTTCACAGCCTCACCTCTGGATAAGGCATTGATGTGGAAGGAGAACTCAGCAAAGGGTGAGAACAGGATGCTATTAAAAATCACAGGCAAGTGTTCCGTCCTGCATGAGTTTAAGTGAGAGTTCTAGAAGCAAGTGTTGTCGAGCTGGGTTAACAAGAAACTCCACAGGATGATGGAGGAATTTCAGTGACTTGATGGGCAACAGAAAGTGATAAAATGTTGATTTAGCTGAAGTCCATCAGTTCTAAGAGATTGTCCTTATGTGATAGGAAAGAAAAATGTTGTCAAGGGGCCAGTGCAGGGTTGAGGCCTTCTCTTGTTTGTAAGAAAAACACTGAATTGCAATAAAGTTGGGACAGGAAAGGGAGAGAATGTTGTGGGTTCTAGATAAGAGGAAAGAACAGAGTTCCACAGTTGCTCCCAGAGGTCATGATCCCGAAAGGCGGTGAAACTTTAGACACTGGCTGTTGCCTTCAGCGGCATTAGGACTGATGTTGTGTTGCAGGTCTCTGCCTACCCTCTGCCGGAGCACCGCAGCACTGCCCTGGCCAATCAAGCCGCCATGCTGTACGTGATTCTCTATTTTGAACCTTCCATTCTTCACACCCACCAAGCAAAAATGAGAGAGATCGTGGATAAGTACTTTCCAGATAACTGGGCAAGTATTCCTCTCCTTCTGTAAATGTGTCACATAACTAACTTCCTGGGGCCAAGTATATTAGATAGAACTGGAACCCACGCTTAGGATGCAGAGGCAGGGGGATCGGGAGCTCAGGTTCATTCTCAGTAACATAGTGACTGTCCGGTCAGGTTGGATGGGTTCAGAGATGGGGAGCATCTGGGAGGAGCTAGGGAAGAGAACAACATAAAGTACAGCGTATGGAAATTGTTTAATTAAAAGATTTTTAAACAGAAATAAACAGAACCTTTCTCTTTTTTTTTTTTTTTTGCCTTTTTAATTTTTTTCTTTTATTTGTGTTTGGAAGAGATACTAAAAAATTTTTACCAGGCATTGCCTTTAATCCCAACGCTCAGGAAAGAGAGAGGTAGGGCTGCTATCTGAGTTTGAAGCCTGCCTGGTCTACAGAATGAATTCCAGGACAGTGAGGGCTACACAGAGAAACTGTCTTGAAAAAAAACAAAAAAGGGGGTGTGTGTTTAAGTGTTTGAAGAACACATACATAGCCAGGTGGCTTATGTATAAAAGAGGGAAACATCAAAACAACAACTAGGGTTTGCAATTTGAAAGTGCTATACAACAACATTTGTAGGAAATGGGGAAACCTGCTCTGAAAGGAAGTTATTGCATGAATTCACTTTCTGGAAAGCAAGATTAAAAGTTAATGAATCAGGGGCTAGACCGATGACCCGGTGGTTAAGAACATGGCACTCTTACAAAGGACCTGAGTTTGCTTCCCAGCACCCACACAGCAGCTCACAGCCATCCATAATTGCAGTTCCAGGAGATCTGACAACCTTTTCTGGTCTTAGTGGGCATCAGGCACACAAATGATACAATACATATAGCTACAGACAAAACACTTATGCACAAAAATAATTAAAAACTACTTCATGTTGGTATCAGTAGATTTGTTTGAAAACTCTCAAGAGTCCTTAGTGACTTTAAAAACTCTCTGTGGTGTGTGTGTGTGTGTGTGTGTGTGTGTGTGTGTTTGTGCAGTGTATATATGGTGTGGAGGTGTGGGGGTGTGTGTGGGTGTAATGTATGGGTGTGGTGTGTGTATGGGATGTGTATGGGGGTGTGTATGGTGTAAGTGTGGGTGTGGGTGGGTGTGGTGTGTACATGGGGTGTGTGTGTGGGGGTGTGGTATGTGTGTGTGGTGTGTTTGAGGTGTGTGGGTGTGGTGTACGTGTGGTGTTTGTGAATGCATGTGTGGTATGTGAGCTGGGGGGTGTGCGTGGGTGTGTGGGAGTGTGTAGTGAGTCATACACAAATGCCAGAGTTCAAGGGATCAAATTTAAATGGCCAGGCTTGTATAGAAAATGCCTTTTCTCACTGAGTCATCTTGTCAGCCCATCATTGACCCTTAAGAGCATAAAGACAACTGGGAAACTGAGTGGGCGTGATGGTGTCCTAGAGAGACCCCTGTCTCGAAAAAAAAAAAAAAAAGAAGAAGAGAAAAGAAAAAAGTGCTTTCTCTTTTTAGTGACTGCTTTTCTCCTCCCTGTAATGTCTTTATCTAGAAATCTAACGCTCAGCAGTTGGAAGAAAATGTTTACTGGAGATACTTTTACTTGTCTGTCCTCCTACTCCTGAGTTCTGCTTTGCGTTTGTTTGCAGAACCCCAGGTTTCACTGACATGAATTAAAACCTTGCATTTCCCTACCCAGTTCATTGATGGCAGTAGATGCTGGGCAAGTACTGAGAGACTCTCTCCTCCCTCAGGTAATCAGCATTTATATGGGGATCACTGTTAATCTAGCTGATGCATGGGAACCTTACAAAGCTGCAAAAACTGCTCTCAACAATACCCTTGACCTCTCAAATGTCAAAGAACAGGTAGGTGTGGACTAAGCAGAGTGAGTAACCCAGCATTAGGCCCAGCTTATAAGAAACAAATCAGGTACACTTCCCTCGGAATTTGGAAAATAGATTCCTATGTCTTACTGTATAACTCGAAGGTAAAATGTGTACACCAGGGCTAAGCACAGGTTTTAAACTTGGGTGGTAGAGGAAATTAGAGCCTCGGACCCTAAGAAAGATTCAGTGCCACAGGGTCACAGTTGACTTTGTTTCCTCTCCGTGAAGCCCGTGTCCTGTTAATGGAGCTGGCTTGATGTTTTAGCAGTAGATGAACGCTGAATGAAACTGTAGTTTAAGCTATCCTTCTGAGTGCAGTTGGTTTATTTAAGCACAGACTGTGTACTTGTTTCTGAGTCACATGGCTATATTCTTAAGAACATCAGCCAGAAGAAAATATCTGAGTAGACAGTAATATAAATAAAATATTCAAATGTGTACTAAATATTTCTCCTGCCTGTCTTTCCGGTCATAGTTCGCACTATACGTAGAACAATATTGGCTCTAAAACCTCTATCATGTCCAAGTAAGTTGAATCCCTTAAATAATGCACCAAAGGATTTTGGTGTTGGCCTGTCTCCTAGAGACATGGAGTGGCATCATGCTTACTGATGTCAAACCATTCATTTTTCTTTACTCAGATTTCTTTCCAATTTTGTATTTTCTCCTTTGTGACCTTTTAAGAAGTTTCTTCCAAGCGTTAAGCCAACTTGACTGGTTGACTGATTCGCAAGATTTAATGTTGGACCATTGCTATACTAAATTCAGATGGCCAGGAAAATCATAATTTTGGTCTGCTGAGATGTACTTTTTATTTAGCTTCATACTCTCCTGTGGAAGTCTAGTCCTTTGTCTGGGTGTGGTGATCCCAGCACTCAGAAGGCTAAGCTGGAATTGCTGTGAGATCAAAGCTAGCCAGTGCTGGACAGCAAGACCCTGACTTAAAAGGCCAAACAAAAGTCTGATCTTTTAAACGTGTGTGCTTTGTTCTGAATTCAGCTACAATAGGAGGAACAGGCAATTTGGCCTCTGTTTCTGTACTTCTTTTCTATGCAAGTTAAGAATTGAAGGGATCTTTTTATTTATTTATAATACAGATGGCTATCCCCTTTTCCCATTTCCCCTTCCTAGAACCTCCTATCCCATCCCCCCTCCTCCTTTATGCTTTTATACCATTTTGAATACATTCATGTATTAAAGTCAGTTCTAGGTTGAGAATCTAGTGATACAATAGATGCAAATAGTCAAGGAACAAGCAATACAATAAACACAAATAGTCAAAGGAAAAACAAGGCTTTAAACCCAATTACATGAACACTCCCGTGATCACTGTTTCTAAAGGCTTCTCAGGATGACCAAAGTATCTGAGCCTGCTTCCCTGCCCTAGCCCAAGGTCATTTTCATGTCTGAAGCCTACTTCATTGTTCTAGCCTAAAATTTAGATTCCTGTCTAAAAAAAAAAAAAGAAAAAAGAAAGAAAGAAAAAAAAAAAGAAGAAGAAGAAAAAGAAAAGAAAAACACCATCAGAGACATATAGTTATATATTTCTGGACTTAAGGTATAAAAGTGCTACAAACCACTGGGTAGTGGTGGCGCACACCTTTAATCCCAGCACTTGGGAGACAGCGGCAGGCGGATTTCTGAGCCTGGTCTACAGAGTGAGTTCCAGAACAGCCAGGGCTACACAGAGAAACCCTGTCTCGGAAAATATATATATATATAAAATATAATATATTTATATATGTATACGTATACATATACATATACATATATATACCACAAACCATGGAATGCAGGCATGCTAGAGAGGATAAGAAACCTGGAAAGCAGATCTGGAAGAATTGCAATGATGCTGTTTACTGGAGACCGATTAATTAACTACTTTGGAGTTTTGAGCCCAGCATTGTAAGCAGCATTTTAATATTATCTTAAGTCACATTGTATATGGTAATTTGTTTCTACCCAAAAGGAAATCATGGCATGATCCTAATACCAATGGTAATAGAGATATTACCATTTGAAATGCTAAAAAAAAAAGAAAGAAAGAAAAGAATTGAAGGGATCAAGCCAGCATAGTGATGTGCACCTTTAATCTCAGCACTGAGGAGGTAGAGGCCAGCCTGGTCTACATAGTGAGTTCCAGGACAGCCAGAGCTATGGTGAGAACCTGTCTCAGAAAAAAAAAAAATTAAAAACTAAAGGGATCAGAGAAACCACCCAGTCCACGGCCTTGGGGGGAAAAATAAACAATATAGGAGGAATAGAAGGATAAAGCCAGCAGTGTTTGATCACTCCACACTAAGGTGAAGCCTCAGAAGTGTTCGTACAATGTTCCTTTTTCAGTGGCCAATGAAACCAGTCTTGGTGGCGCGCACCTTTATTCTGAGCACTCTGGAAGCAGAGCCAGATGGAGCTCTTTGAGTTCAAAGCTCAGCCTAGTCTACATAGCAAATTGAAAGCTACATACTGAGACTCCCATCTCAAAAAACAAAAAACAAAAAAAAAAATCCAGTAAACCAGTTGCCCTTGGCTCTGTAACTGATCCACGTTATTACCTCATATAGAAATGATGTTATTAAACTGGGGGTCTGGGGAATGGGAAGGAAGGGAGGAAGGGAGGAAGGAAGGGAGGAAGGGAGGGCGGGGGGGGGGGGGGGAGGGGGGGGGGGAGGAAGGAAGGAAGGAAGGGCTTGTACTTTTTGAAGGATTTAACTGAATGTAATTCATTTTCATGATACCTCTTCTTCCACCTAATTCCAACTGATGGATTCTGTAATTTTCAAAGGCAAGCAGATACGCAAGTGTCAGCGAAAGAGTGCGTGCTCAGGTCCAGCAGTTTCTGAAAGAGGGTTACTTAAGGGAGGAGGTGCTTCTGGACAATATCCCCAGGCTGCTGAACTGCCTGAGAGACTGCAATGTCGCCATCCGCTGGCTGATGCTCCACACAGCCGACTCAGGTAATCCACACAAGGGCGGCATTTATCCCGTCCCACATACAGCTCTGCAGAGGTAAGGCCTGGGCCACAGTGCAGAGCACTTAGCAGAGGGTGGGCTACTTCATGAGAGGCAAGCTTATTGCTAAAGCTAGTGATTTTCCGGTCAACTGGGAGAGATGCGCAGCCCACCTGAGCAGATGTCTTCTGTCAGGCACTAGTAGGTAGCTAGGAAAAATGACGACTTTGGGCTCCCATGTTGAAGAAGCTTGTCACTGATCAAACTGGTTGTGATATAAAAACAGAAAAAGGAATAACGGCAGACTTGTGGGAGACAGGGTAATACCTCTACCTCCCTCCTCAAAAGATGTCCACTTCCCCATCCCTAGAGTCTTACAAGGCTTGTGGAAGCATAGGGAAGACACTGCTGATCAGTTGACCGTATAGTCAGGAAACTAATCACAGTAGACTGTGTAATCACAGAGCCTTATTAAATCAGGAGAATGGGGCAGGCAGATTAGAGACAGAAAAGCAGCACCAAGCATATGACTTGACCAGCCAGTACTGGCTTTAAAGGTAGAAAGGGCCTAAGCCAAGGTATACAGGCAGCCTTTAAAGGCTAAAAGGAGCAAGAAAGGGAATTTCCCCTAATTTGGGGCTATCTACCCTTTTAGTTATGATATCATCTTTCAATGTGTTGGGCCATAGTCATAGCTGTCCTGGGATGTGTGTGGCCCTCACACCACAGGTTGGAAATACCTTCTTAATCTGCTAATACTTTATGAAATCCAACCCTGCTGACATTAAAAACAATTTAGCCAAGCAACAGTGGCACATGCCCTTAATCTCAGCACTCAGGGTGGTGAAGGCAGGCTGATCTTTGTGAATTCAAGACCAGCTTGGTCTACAGAGTGAGATCCAGGACAGCCAGATCTATATAACACAGTGGAACTCTGTCTCAAAAAACAAAACAAATAAAAATGTACATGTTCTATGTCTGTCTCTCTCTGTCTCTGTCTCTGTCTCTCTCTCTCTCTCTCTCTCTCTGTGTGTGTGTGTGTGTGTGTGTGTGTGTGTCCGTCCATGCATATTTAGAATCTCCTTCCAGCATTTGAAACCTACGAATTGAACTCAGGTCATCAGGTTACTGAACCAAGGCTTTTACCCACTGAGTTATCTTGTGGGCCCTGCTGACATCTTAGTTTAGTACAGTGGACCCTGCTTCACATTTGCAACCCTAAAACATAAAAACCTAAATTTATGTTCTTTTAAAAGCTGCTGTTTATGCTAGCCTGTTAGAGCAGCTCCAGGAAGTTAACAAAAGGCTCCTGGTGGCAAATCAGAGCTTGGCGTGAAACTTATAATGGTCGAGGCCTGAGTCTCTGGTATAAGGGTGGAGTGAATGAACAGAAAAGTCAAAGATGGCTCCACCAGAAAGCACAAACTGGCCAAGGTCTTGGGAAGATTTGACTTAAAAAATGGGATGAAACTCTGGCCCATAGATGTGATCAAAATCAGACGTAGAGAAAATTTGAGCCTTGCTGAGTGTAAGGTCTCCTGGAACTAGAGTTTCAGCTCTGAGCTGTTTGGTATGGGTTCTGGGATACAAACCTGTCCTCTGGAAGAGCACGGGTTGCCCTGAGCTGCTGAGCTGTCTCCAGCCCCACTGATCTGCTTTTAATAAACTTACTTTCTCTTCTACACAAACTCCTTTTCTGATTTCAAAAATGTGCCCACTGACTCAGCTATAATCTTCCCTACCAGCTTCATATAAATAACACAAATGCTCAGGTTAGCCTGTTCCCAGGTTGGCTTTGATCCTCCAGTGGCTCAGCCTCTTACTCAGCCTCTGTGCAGCTGTGGCTGACAGCTGGGCCCATTGTTCTGGAAGTCAGTCGTTTCCTTGACTTGCACAGGGGCAAATTCCAGCGTGCCAGAGGTCTGGGCTTTTATCCTTAGCTACATCTATTTAATATTTTTGTGCCTGGCCAATATCTGAACTGATAGTACGTGAATATGTTTACACATGGGGAAAGTCAGTGCTTACTTACCCTTGCTGTTGTTATAGTCATGACATTTTTATGTGTCTGTCACTCCTCTTGGCCCACTGGAGGCCTCTCCCCAGCAGAGGCTGACTCCACATTGCCTTGAAGCTGATGGAGAAGCTACCCAAGCAACACTGGACAAGCAAAGCTAACTATCTGCAAAAGGTGGCCAGGAATTATCTTGGTTCTAGGATCAATTCTTATACTTTTCTTGGCCTGAATTGTTCAGGACCAGATCAAAAAGAGATGTTCAGGCCCAGGAAGACTAGACCTTCATAATGTACCAAAAAGTCAATCATTAATATCTGTGGAAGTGTGAAAATCGTTTACCCATCACCAGGACTATGGGCCCCATCCAAAGATGTAAACAGATTAATACCAGGCCTTGTGTTTAACCTGAGTTAATATCAAGACAAGTAAAAGGATAAGGGATGTACCTCAGATGGTAGAATCCTGCCTAGCATGTATAAAGCTCTGGGTTCAAGCCCCAGAAGAACCTAAAACTGAGTGTAGGGCACACATGTAATCAGCTCTCTGAGAGGTAGAGGCAGGAGAATCAGAGGTTTGCCAAGGTCATTAGCAGCATATCCACTTCAGGGCCAGCCTGAAATGCCAGAGACTTTTCCTCAAAAAAGAGGGGAGCACAAATGGAACTCCTTTAGCGTTCTCTGTGTTTTAACAGAGCCAGCATTTCTAGCCTGCCCAGGTGCTCCTGGGGAATGGATGAAATGCTGGATCTTTGCACTTTCCCATAGCAGCTGAACCCTTTCTGCAGGTGTCATGAGTCCTGATGGAAGACTGTAGAAATCAGTATGCAGAATGGCCTCCTGTAGGCTTCACCACATGGTGAGTCACCAGAGACACTCCATGATATCTGAGCTGGCAACAAGGGCCTGCAGTGTCTGCCTGGGCTGCACAGAGAGGGCTGAGAAGCAGTCCTGCATCTGTGACACACTGGTTCTGTGACCATGAGCTTCAGCCCTGTTCATCTGGGCACTTTTGACAATGTTTATTTACTTAGAGTTTTTATTTCAACTTCATTTGTAGTCTAAATAGTTTTCATTTCTAAATATTTTTGCTATATTCTACTTTTTTTTATCTTGTTGGCCCTATAAACACATCTTGACAAATAGCAGTGTTTGTTACCTGTTTATTTATTATATATTTTAAGACAGCATCTCACCCACTGGCCTGGTCCTCAACTATGTTGCCCAGTTCGCCTTGAAGTTATAAGCCCCTTGCCTCCTACATACTGTGGCTGCAGACTGAGCCACTACTTCCATGTGTCTGCTTTTTTAATTCAACTTTTATTTGAAACAGTTTTGCTTGGCAGCTAGTAGGCTAACTAAAAACCAGGATATCAGTTGGTTATGCATGTGGGTCAGTTACTACCTAATATTATGACCTTGACCCAGTTGCCTTAAATTCTCTTTACCTGGATAGTGCACAAAAAGCTCTAAGGGCCTCCCATGCCCTTTGCAAGGAGTGTGATGGGCACGTGTGTGCAAGTGTCATGATTTATGTGGAATTTCTCCTTCCCTGTTGTCTTAGGCAGACCCTAAGACCTAGTTTTCTGATTCCCTAGGAACCCTCTGATTCCCTCAGAGTGCCCATGGGGCGTACCCACAGCTGGGATTGAATCCAACAAAGGAAAAGGACATATGGGTAAATCTAGAGGAAAACAGGTCCAAGCTTCTAAGGATCCTGTCAGTGCAGTCACACGGAGCTGCTAAATTTGCCCAGTATGTGAGAAATATTGTCAAGCTTGTCTGCCTCTGCTGCCCAGGGGATCTATTGAGGGTTTATCACACAACAAGCTTCTTGCCAGGTACAAAGAGGCCAGACTCTAAGAACAAAAGCAGTGTTCAGCATGTACCACATCATTTGTGTAAACAGTTAAGGCCTAGAGAATCATTTCTGACAGTTTTCAGAGTGGTGAGAACTCTGCCCAAAACTCAAACTTCCAGATACCACAAGAGCCTACTGTCTTAGGGTTTCCGTTGCTGTGAAAAGATACCATGACCTAGGCAACTCTTAAAAGGATAACATTTAATGGGGCTGGGTTACAGTTCCTGAAGTTCAGTTCATTATCATCATGGCAGGAAGCATGGCAGTCTGCAGGCGGACATGGTGTTGGAGGAGCCGAGAGTTCTACATCTTGATACACAGACAGCCAAGAGACTCTCTTCTCCACTTCTCAGAACTTGATCACTAGGAGCCTTCAAAGCCCACCTTCACTGTGACACACGTCCTCCGACAAGCCCACACCTATTCCAACAAGGCCACACCTCCTAATGGTGCCATGACCTAAGCATATTCTTTTTTTTTTTTTTTTTTTTTTTGGTTTTTCGAGACAGGGTTTCTCTGTGTAGCCCTGACTGTCCTGGAACTCACTCTGTAGACCAGGCTGGCCTCAAACTCAGAAATCCACCTGTCTCTGCCTCCCAAGTGCTGGGATTAAAGGCGTGCACCACCACTGCCCGGCTAATGACCTAAGCATATTCAAACCACCACACCGTCCTAGAAAACAGATCTCTATAGGTAGCAGTTTCAGGTTATCTTTCTGCATCTGAGTGGCACAATTGGACATCTGAACCAGGAGCACCTTCAGTCAGATGGGTCATGAGGAGACTAGTTTCCTATGAAATGGTGCCAGAAGGCCCTACCCAGCCATTCTGGGCAGTTAAGAAAAGCTGATCCTGAAATGCCTTCAAAACACTGTACCCGACTTTGTCTTTTTTATTCAACAGTGAGTTGGGGACTGATAGCCATGTCATGAGTAGTTACAAGTTCAGTTGTCACTAACAGTTCAACTGTACTCTAAGATGTGGATATATGATATTTCCCAACCTACTGTGGATAGACATTTTGCTTAATACTTTTTAAATACTTGAAATGAAGGGAGGTACTTAAGAATCCGTCTTATTTCGTGAGTGTTTGCTCCACATTTAATCAGTGGGAAATTCTTCTTCCTCTTTCTAGCCTGTGACCCAAACAACAAGCGCCTTCGTCAAATCAAGGACCAGATTCTGGCAGACTCTAGGTACAATCCGAAGATCCTCTTCCAGTTGCTATTGGATACTGCACAATTCGAGTTTATTCTTAAAGAGGTAAAAATAGTAGGTGAATAGCCTTAGTCTTTGGGAGCTTTTTGTGTTTAAGAAAATATTTGAGAAAAGACTATGATTTAGTTGTGTCTCTGACTCAAGCAACAGATTTTGTCCATCAATGACTGTTCTTTATAGAAAATGACAGAATTAAACATTTAATAATTATTTAGTTACAGAGCAAGTATACCAGATTGTGAAGGTTAATCTAATGAGGTATACAGAAATTAATGAGACTCATACTTCTGAAAATATGTGAAAACTGGGATTTGCGTCTGGGGAGATGACTCAGGGTAATGACTTGCTGAGTGTCTTAGTTAGGGTTACTATATCGCTGTGATGAAACACCGTGACCAAAGCAACTTAGGGAGGAAAAGGTTTATTCAGGTTACACATCCATAAACAGTTCATCATGGAAGGAAGTCAGGACAGAAACTCAAGCAGGGCAGGAACCTGGAAGTGGGAGCTGATACAGAGGCCATGGAGGGGTGCTGCTTTCTGACTTGCTCATCATGGCTTGTTCAGCTTGATTAGAAAACCCAGGGCTACCAGCCCAGGGATGGTGTCATACATAATGACCTGGGCCCTCCCACATCAATTACTAATTAAGAAAATGCCCTATAGGCTTGCCTATAGTCCTGTCTTATGGAGGCATTTTCTTAATTGAGGTTTCCTCCTCTCAGATGACTTTATAGCTTGTGTCAAGTTGACATAAAACTATCCAGTGCATTGAGTAAATTGAGGACTAGAATTCAGATCCCTTGAGCCACTTATGTGCCAAGTGGGTGTGGCAGCCCGCTTTTATTAACAACTTCCTAACATGAGATCCCAGATCAAGTTGGTCAGTAAGACTAGCCATACCTGCAAGCTCTCACTTTGACTGGCAGACCCTTTCTCAATGAATAAGATGAAAGAGTGATCAAGGAAGGTTCCCAACATCTAACTTGAACCTCCATGTGCATTTTGACCCACATTCATATGTAAATGTGCTTGCACACAGACATGCACACTATAGGCATGTGGAAAATGGGGGTGTGTGCTAAGATTTGTACTTTCAAGGGAAGGAACTTAAGACATTGACACCCTGGGGACAGAAGCCAGAGCTTCTGAAGAGCCATGGAGAGGATCTGCCATAGTGGTGAACAAAGTAAGGGAGCCTGCTGGAGAACACTTCAGAGAGGAGCAACAATACAGCCTTGTTCCAGCTATATCAGTCACATATGCAACACTGTTGTAGGAAATATTAAGCCCCAGCCTGAGGTCTCTACCTCACCCCAGACCATTGTGTTCCGGATGAAAGACACGTTCACAGCCTTGACATTTACAGTATGCATTAATCAGTACAATAGCTGGGCAGCTGCCTACCTTCCATGCTGTTAGAGTCCATTTTCCTATTGATAACCCCGAGTTATTCCATCTGGGCTACTCTTAGCTCCAGTTGGGCAGCCCTCAGGGCCATGCTCTCTTGACTCTTAACCCATGGCCACTTCTCTTTCCTCTTCCCCCTGCACCTTCTTCTTCGTTGTCCCCTCTGACCCCCAAACTCGCAAAACGTAAACCCCACCTATGTCTCTTCTGCCCAGCTATTGGCTGTTGGCATCTTTATTTACCAATCACAATTAACTGGCAGCAGGGTCACTTGTTTTTTTTTTTGGGGGGGGGGGGGCAGATTAGCATTATAATGTAAGCAGCATCAGGCCAACCCACTAAAAACACTGGTCCTTTAAGAATATATTATTTTGACTACATGTGGTGACACATGCTGTTAATCCCAATCAGGGCAGGCCTGGGCTATCTCACTAACCGAGTCTGCATCTCTAGCAACAGTGAGTTCACTGGACTGTGGCAGCAGCTTGCTTTGTCAGTTCACACAGGGAGGAAAGCAACGAGAGACTGAAGGAGCACAGTAGATGGTGAAAGGTGCTGGAAAGACAAGAGCTGGGGGCTGAGCAGAAGTGGATCTGTCCTCTGACACTGCAGCTTACTCTCTGGCTTGTTTTCCTGCCTCCTCAGTGCTCTCACTGACCTAGAACTACTTCCCAGCCTCCTGAAAAGTACCGGGCCTGGACCTGCGTCTCCTTTCCGCTTTGTGAATGGTGAACTTCTTAATTCAGTGCCTGGGCTTGCAGTGCCAGCTTCCTAACCTGACTATCATCCCGAGAACTGCGACTCTTGCCCTTTAGCACTTGCGTGTGCACACTCTTACACATACATCATCTGTGCACACGCAATAAATCCAGTATGTTTTAAACAAATGGATGCAAAGGCCATGCTCCATCCCCAGTTCAGCCTTAGTAGACAGGAACACCATGAGTTCAGCGAATAGCTTATGGGAGACCTGAAGCCTCTCAGCCTGGAATCAAGGCTGTTTTGTGGCGTTGCTTTGCCCCTAGTAAATGACATCAATTTCTCCCAGGCATCAGAAGGCCCGGGTAGAGTCCATAAATAATCCTCAGTGCTCCTCCTCCTCATACATGTTGTTCACTGGTTAAGTGTCCTTTCTGGATGACTAAGATTCTTCCTCCACAGACGCCACGGTCTCCCCTACCTTGGTCTCTCGCCTGCAGGTGGAGTCTCCTGACACTGTTCCTCTTCTTAGTTTCATTAAGATGCTGACCAAGGCAGACTCTTAAGAGAAAATTCGTGTCCATGCTTGTTTATATCATAAGAGCACAGTGTAAAAATCCTGTGCTTTTGTGTGTTGTTTGATTAGATGTCAGTATGGTTTTTGCAGTTTTGCTTCTGAGGGGCAGGGACTTCAAGGCCTGGGAACTGGACACTTTTGAAGCCCTCCAGGTTGTACAACCAGCCTGGAAACAGCTGTCTGGCTTTCCACTTGAGATTTGTAATGTAGTGATGGTAAGAGATGGTGTCAGGGTCAGTGGTAATTTCTTGTGAGTCTATGTATATACAAACTAACATTTTGTGGGTGTTCTCATGTGTTAGTGTGTAGTGTAAGGTGTGCACACATGGAGGCTGGAGTTGATGCTGGCTGCCTTTTAGGTCACTTCCAGTCTATGTGTAGAGCACGGTCTCTTACCAAACCCAGATCTCAGCAGTTCCCGCTAGTGTAGCTAGCAGGCTTTCCCTGGGATCCCGTCTCTGCCTCCATACCTGCCTGGTATTTATATGAGTTCTAGGGGTCCCAACTCTAGTTCTTGTACCACAAGTACCTTACCCACTGAGCCACGCCTCCAGCCCTCAGTTACGTGCTCTTTTATGTAAATTGGGATTTATCCGGATCTCTTTGTGAACTGTCTGATCTGCATTTTCTCTTAAGTAAATAAATCTTCCATCTTGTCAACAGATGTTCAAGCAAATGCTTTCAGAGAAGCAATCCAAGTGGGAGCATTACAAGAAGGAGGGCTCCGAGCGGATGACTGAGCTTGCTGACGTGTTTTCAGGGGTGAAACCACTAACCCGAGTGGAGAAAAATGGTAATTGCTGAAGAGGAGTTATGGGTGTGTTTGAGATAAGTGTTTATATTATTGAAGCCTTGGAAATTGGCTGTTACTGTCTTCATTGCTGTCAGAGACTACCTAGCAAAACAAACTTAGGGAAGGGAGGGTTTAGTGTGGATCACAGTTTGAGGGCACGGCCCACCATGGCAGAGCCAGTGTGGAGGCAGGGTGTGAGGGAGACCCACCGTGGCAGAGCCGGTGTGGAGGCAGGGGTGTGGTCAGGAAGAGGAGGGGTCAGTGCTGGTGCTCAGCTCACTTTCTGTTTTTTATGAAGTCTATCTCAGCCAATGAGATGGTGCCCACACTCAGTGGGTCTTCCTTCCTTAGGTAAAGGCCTCACAGACATGCCCAGAGGTGTCTCATAGGTTGTTCTAAACCAGTCCGGTTGATGATCAAGATTAACCATCACTCTAACCTTTAAAGTTTAAGTATTAATGGCACCCCTTGCTGTCGAGAATTCCCACAGCTCTGCTTGTAACTCACAGTTCTGATGTGTTGGTCTCCTTTCCGAGAAACCTCGGTTTCTGTTTGTCCTACACTTTGATAGATAGCCGTCTCGATTCCTGAGGACCCACATCTTTATCCATCTTCACTTCTCCAGAGAACTCCTCAGTAACTCCATGTCCTGTCCCACAGTCAGTACCCTCCTGACCCCTCTCTGTGTCTGTGAGCACGTTAGGACTTACCATTTGCAACTGAAGTATGAGCCTCCTTTCATTCTTTAGTGGTCAGTATCACAGATGAGGCTGTTCATGCAGAAATTTAACCTATCTTGTTTCGGTGCGTGCCTTCACATTGCTGTTGATGGTTGGAGAATTGTTGGGAGTGATGTTAATTACATGGTAAAAGTACTATGCAACCTACATTTGTACAAGCTGAGTTAAATCAAAGCTACAGGAATCTGGGTCTCAATATGCTTTCCTTGTTTCTATATTAACAGAAAATCTTCAAGCTTGGTTCAGAGAGATCTCAAAACAAATACTGTCTCTAAATTATGATGATTCTACTGCTGCAGGCAGAAAAACTGTGCAACTAATACAAGCTTTGGAAGAGGTAAGAAAGTCTTTTTAAACCACAGTACTTGGGCTGGAGTGTTGGCTCAGCAGTTAGGAGGTTATGCCGTTCTGCGCTTTCAGAAGATTCGAGGTCCACTCCCAAGACCTGTGTCAGGCAGCTCACACCACCTGTAACTCCAGCTCCTGAGATTCTGATACCTCTGGCCTCTGTGTGCTCACATACAGACTCACACATGCATGCGTGTGCACACACACACACACACACACAGTTAAGAATAATTTTTAAGATCTTGAAACTATGTCTTAGGTCAGAAGTTGCAGGTTATGATCCATGTAATACTTTGCTCATAAAAATATGTCTAAGAAGATACTTCATCAGAAGCAACCCCTGTGGTGTCACACTCATGGTTGTACAATTGGGATAACAACTGAGTGGTCAGCGCGAGTAGAGCTGTAGCAAGTACCACAGATCTGAACTTGAGGAAATATGTGTTTTAGAAGCCAGATTATGAAAAGAATCTGGAAATATTAAGGAGATTGTGATAAAGTGTAAAAACAAAAAAAATTTAGGTCTACGCCATCTTTTAGGTATGTAAAGAATGTGTGCCTTGGGGGGAAAATACTAGAGTAAATAAAAACTAAAAGTGGTTATGTAATGATATTATCCTTGTAATCGGTCAACTTTTCTGGAATATTTAATATGTCTTTATATACTCAAAAATGACTGTACCCAAAGAAGTTACTCTACCTACCATTCTTAAACTTTTAATTGTCTGTTAATATGAAATAATCATCTCAGACCACTACCTCAGACTCATCATTTAAAACATCAGCTATAGTCTATCTATCTATTGGAATAATTAATATTTTCCATTTGCCAAAATTTCTTCAGATTTTTTTTTCCTATTTCTTTGAGATTATCCTGATGGTCACTGAATAGCAACTGCACCTTATACCTCTAGCTAGCTCGGAGCATCTCCCTTCAGAAACTTGTTTGGAGATTTCTTAGTCTATAGCACAACTATGAACAGCTTCATAAACCTCAATTGTTTTGTTTTGGTTTTTTGGTTTGTTTGTTTGTTTGTTTGTTTGTCTTATTTATATAGGCATATAGCCCAGGACTCTTGAGTGACACATGAAAATTTGAGGACATTAAAGAAACAACAAGAACCTCGTGGTGTAGCAGCACTTTGGTTGTGCTGTAACTCACTACAGTCTTAGTGTGGGCACACTCGGGAAGAAAATTGTTTCCCAGGATGTGTTTTTGTCTTCTAAAGTGGAAGAAGAGCATACTAACTCATCATGGTCTCTGTGCATGGGATAAGAGTATGGGACTGTTCTCCAACCCTAGACACTTGTGTACTTCCTTAGAACTTGCTTTATAGATCTCTCAAGCTTAATTCGAAATGAAAAATTTGTCAAGAAATTATTTATGAGAGCTGTATTGAGGTGTTTTTAAAGGAGAAGATGTATTGAATTGTTTCATTATTTGTATAACATAGGTTCAGGAATTTCACCAGTTGGAATCAAATCTACAAGTTTGCCAGTTTCTTGCTGACACTCGAAAGTTTCTCCATCAAATGATCAGGACCATCAACATCAAAGAGGAAGTCCTGATCACAATGCAGATTGTCGGGGACCTTTCTTTTGCCTGGCAGTTAATCGACAGGTAATATGGACACACTAGTGTTTACCCGTGATGAAGGAGGAGGTCTCTCTGCTTACCATGTGTCCATCCCTCTTGACAGTTTCACAGCCATCATGCAAGAAAGCATAAGGGTAAATCCATCCATGGTTACCAAACTCAGAGCCACATTCCTAAAGGTAAGCAGGGAATGGCGACATCCATCCTCTAACAGAAGAAAGAGTCAGCTGTGCTCTACTGTCATTGGTCTGGGTACAGTGCTATCCACTTTGCACTAAACATTTATGAAATGTTTCATCAGAGTCAGCATCAAATGTTCAGCCAAGGTTTAGTTCTTTGTAAAAATGAATCTCCATCTCGCTAGTATGCACATTTGCTTTCATCTTTAGTAAATGGTGAAAGTATGTATGTTTTAAAGTCAATCTGTGGCTTGTTACCAGTACGAGTTTGATCTGTATGCCTGTGTTATGTGTACGAGGGGCCACAGAGCAGTTTCTTTGGTGAGAAGGAGTCTTGAATGCAAAGGGCTTCTGTGAAATAGCAGCTCTCCAGCTTTGGGGTACATCAGAGTTACCTAGCACAGCAGCTTCTCCACCCGACTCCCACAGTGCTGAGTCAGTCTGTGGTGGGTCTGATAACTGACATGTCTCAGGGGTTCCCAGCTGCTGCCATCGGTCAGTGGAAGAGACACTACCACAGTAGTAGATGGCTGTGGGGTTTGGGTTTGGTTTTGGTTTTAATATATTGTCAGAACCTATTTGAGGCATTGCTGAGGCTTTACAGTTGTTTCCCTCTATTGGGTGAAGCACAAATGTGGCGTCGTAAATTCCACTTTGGGGAAAGGTTTCTAGGGCGTTTATAAAGCAAGAAACAGAAGTGTATTGTTTCCTTTCAGCTTGCCTCTGCCCTTGATCTTCCCCTGCTCCGTATTAATCAAGCTAACAGCCCTGACCTCCTCAGTGTGTCTCAGTATTATTCAGGAGAATTGGTGTCATACGTGAGAAAGGTAAGGAATGCCTCTGGCTGAGTTTTATTGCCTAGCCGCTTCCTTAAATACACAAATCCCTGGTGGAGCTTCATGTTCTTTAGCTATCTTTCCAGAAATTTCCAATACCCCAAAATAAACATATTCTTGCCGAAGCTGGAGACATGCAAGTGTGATTTGCTTTCTAAGGAGATCGCGCTGGCCTCAGAGTTGCAGAAGCTGAGGAGCAGAGGTGATGTGGTCTCTTCAGGGGCAGAGCTGGCTGCTCGGGGGCATATCACAGCTCACATTCTCTTACCAGAACCTAGCTCAAGTCTGCAGGAGAATCGTGGTCCTTGCTCTAATCATTTGTAATGGATCTAGGACCTAGCCATGTCTGAGTTCAAAGTCAGTCTGTGCCATGCACTGGCTGAGACCTTTCCTTCATGTTACTGACATCTTGAGCAGTGGTGGGAAAGCGTGCGGTTGTGTTTTCTAGCAGCTGTTTGTTTTGGTTTGGTTTTGAGACCACTTACTATGTAGATCTGGCTGCCCTGGAACTTGCTATGTAAACCAGGATGGCCTTGACCTCACAAGAGGTTTTCCTGCCTCCGTCTCCCTTGTGCTGAGATTAAACGTGGGCCCCACATGTCCAGCACCCTTCTAACAGTTTTCAAGATAGTTCTTTAAGTTTCTCAGCATCTCCCCTTGTCAAACTGCCATCCTACACACTGGTACCTTCTTGCTCTCATTTTCCTTGTTCATCAGCTTAAAAAAAAAACAGTATAGATACTCAGTTGTATTTCTTCCTGGTCTTTTCATCAAAGGTTCTGCAGATAATTCCAGAAAGCATGTTCACATCTCTCCTAAAGATCATAAAGCTTCAGACCCATGACATCATTGAAGTGCCTACCCGCCTGGACAAGGACAAGCTGCGGGACTATGCTCAGCTTGGCCCGCGATACGAGGTGCCATACTCTGACTTCTGTCTTTTGATTTTCAAAGCTCCAAAACGTGAAACATCCCCAGCCAGTGGCTCTTGCTTATCCCGGGGAACAGCAGATCACCTGTGGTTGTGTTCTTGCACTCCCAGCCATAACGGGGTTTGCAGTCTTTAGTACTCTTGACATTTCCCTAGTGTCCCTGAGAGCCTTCCTCACCCACATTCTCTGTAGAGCTGTTTTCTCTTGAACAGTCTGGCATTGCCTTTGTTCTTCCTGTGTTACACAACCTGGACTTTTCACAGCCACATTCCTCCTTTGTACACACTACTCGAGCTACAGTTACGTCAATAAACCTTTCGTAAGTTAAAAATATTGTTAAGTGAAAAATGTTTCTAATTCCCTCAGGAAGCTGGTATTGCAGCTTATCTTGAGTCCAGTTCTGAAGTTCAGACGTGAGAAACAGAAGCCAGACAAAGGAGTGCTGTGTTAAAAGGATGAGAACTGCTGACAGTGACTGTCCCCACAGAGCCTCACGTCCATCCCAGGCACAGGCACAGGCACACCACTGTCCTTTACACAGCCACACACATTTCCTGTTGCCTTCGATCAGTGCAGGACTGTCGGCTGGTTGTTTAGCCTTGCGTAGGTGTGAGGACTCTTTCCTGTGACGTAGTCCATCCCCCTTCTCTCTCTTAAAGGTTGCCAAACTCACTCACGCCATCTCCATCTTTACCGAGGGCATCTTGATGATGAAAACGACCCTAGTGGGAATCATCAAGGTAAGGGTTGAGCCGCTGCTCTCTGTGGCCTGTGATGATTTGTTTGGTTTTCTGGTAATTACATGTGGAACAGGAAGGAATGTGGCTATCTTGTATTACTCAAAACTTTTGTTTTTACCCATTTGTTGAAGGAGGGAAACGAAAGATTATAACCCTGATTGCTCATAATTAAAGACGACCATATGACATGAACTTGGACTTTGATCTTACCATTTCCTGCTGGCTGTAAGAAACGACACTTCGAATTTAATGAAATCATTAAAATGTAAAGCAGTTAAAAACTGTATCTGCCAGCTTGGTAATATGTTGTGAAATTATCACAAAACTTCCTGAGCTGAATGGAGTCCTGTAGAGGCAACAGGGTTAATAATTCAGTCTGCCCCTCTAAAGATGATTAGGGACAGAACTTTAAAATGTAAATCACTTAGCAATGACATAGGAAAATGGTGCACTGCAGACTCTAGCCATTTCTCTGTTTTTGCTGGCCTGCCTTTTCCTGAGGGCATCAAATGCCTTTGATCTGCACTTAGGTGGATCCCAAGCAGTTGCTGGAAGATGGAATAAGGAAAGAGCTGGTTAAGCGCGTGGCTTTCGCCCTCCACCGGGGACTGATATTCAATCCTCGGGCCAAGGTACAAATGCCCAGAATGGACCTGTCAGTCAGCTCACAGTGTGCACTGGAACACCATTCTGAACAAGATGGGTCCTTCTCTCTCCTGCATATCCAATATATGTTTTGTGGTGACAACAATTTACATGCTTTTTGATCCTTTCTGTAATCCACTCAAAAAAAAAAAATCCCTTTTAAAATGAATTATTTCCTCCCTGCTCCTCCTGTGTTTAAGAACTGAATTGGTGCTTATAACTCCTAGTTACTTTCTCTCCAAAGAACTTGTTTACCATATAGCAGACAGAAACTGGAAAGACTGGGTTACATATATATATATATGTTTGCATTATCTACTTAAAAGTATGGTAATTTTTCTAAAGAGAATGAATAAGCCAAAAAATTTTATGTAAGGAATGTTTCACTTCAATAAATTCAACTTAAGTGTTAGATGTACAATATTAGATGTGTTCATAAATTGATACTGTTGAGGTCATCAGTATTCATCTTTATATCCGCTGTATGAGATTCCTTCCCAAATGAGTGATGTCTGTTCTTAGAGAGTCTCACAGCACTGCCCGACAGTCAACCTAGCTGCAGAAGGAAACCTTTCTAAAGCTTTGACTACGGTTAAAACATGACTAAAATCCCTTAGTGTGTAGTTTAAAGTCTAAAGGAGGTGTTAGTGTTGACAGCTTACTCCTGCTGACAGTTTTTCTGTCCTCTTGTGTATAGCCAAGTGAGTTGATGCCCAAGCTGAAAGAGCTGGGAGCCACCATGGATGGATTCCATCGTTCTTTCGAGTATATACAGGACTATGTCAACATTTATGGTCTGAAGATTTGGCAGGAGGAAGTCTCTCGTATTATAAATTATAATGTGGAGCAAGAGTGTAATAACTTCTTAAGAACAAAGGTAAAGAGCAAGTTTTTTAAATTCTTGACTGTATCTGTTATCCCTCATATTTAAAATACACACTCCATATCTCAGCAATACCAACATGAAAGTTTTGTGTTGGTGGTGGTGGTAGTGGTGGTTGCTCTTTGTCTAAGTGATGCTACTGAGAACCCTTAAGCCCCGCAGAGCACCTTTCGGAGACTTGAGGCTAGAAGGAGAGTGGACGTGGAACCTGCCCTAAGGGAGCTTTCTGTGTGAGGAGAAAGCAGACGTCACTAAGTGGCCTTAGCATCAGCTGCTCTGCTTGTTAGAACCCAGGGTCTTGAGAGTGGAAGCCTTGGGACCGCTCTTGACCCCGTGATGCTTTTTGGCTTGTGGAGGAAGCTCCAGTCTGTCCACAGCAGCACTGCAGGCCTCCATCCCTCCAGCAGGGCATGGGCGTCCGCCTCCTCATGCCCCAGGCAGCACTTGCTGCTGTCCGCTTCTGAGTCTTGGGGTTGTGAAGGGGCCTGGTTCTGATGTCTGCTTCCCTAATGGCTGTCTATTTATGGGCCGTGTGTGTCTTCTGTGAAAAATAGCTATGAAAGTTGGTTTGTTTTTTTTTTTTATCCCATGAACCACAAAATAGCCACAAACTCAAATGTCACTGCTTTTACGTAGCATTTAACAAGGCTGGCACATTCAGGTGACACTTTCAAAAGATTGTTGAAGTTTATGATATTTTACATCTTTAGATGTCATTGTCCATCTCAACTCACAAGACAAAGAACCATGTTTCTCTGTCTCTCTTTATTTCTCACTGTTCTGCAGCCCAGGCTAGCCCCCAACTCACTATCTAGCCAAGGATAACCTTGAACGTTCTGTCTTCCCATCTCCACCTCCCTAGCTCCGGGATCACAGGCCTGCATCACTGTACCTGGCTGATGAGGTGCTGGGGTGGAACCCTGGGTTCATGCTAGGCACACGCTCTACCCGCCCAGCCACACCTCTAGCCCTTACTTCCTTTTTCAGCGATGGTTTCTTTTTTTTTTTTTATGTTCTTTTTAACATTTGGTGAGTCCTTTGGTGGTGACTTAAATTTTTTCTCTTCAAAACCGAGGAACACTTAATTGTTCCTCTTCATGAACAGCTTGTAAGATTATGTAAAGATACCAAATTACACTATCAGGATTGAACTAGACACTTACGGTTTTGTTTTCTAGATTCAAGACTGGCAGAGTATGTACCAGTCCACTCATATTCCAATCCCAAAGTTCGCGCCTGTGGATGAGTCTATAACGTTTATTGGTCGGCTCTGCAGAGAAATCTTGCGGATCACAGACCCAAAGTAAGTATCTCTGCGTATGGCTGAGCTTCAGATCTCCTGATACCATGCTCTGTCACCGAGGTGCGCTCCCTTGTCCTTAGTCCAGCACCCAAGCACTTAATAAGAGCCATTGTCTACTGAGCACTGGCCCATGTCCCTTAGCATGTCCCCCGAATCTGCATCCTCACTCCTTACATCCTTGGTGTCTTAGGCAGCAGGCCTTGTTGCTGTTACCACTTTATAGATGAAGAAATTCAGACACAAAAAGCATGTACCTGGATCATGCCAAGCCCCAGTCACTAAAGCACTGTGCTAGTCAAGGGCACATCATATAGCTTTGTGTGCAGTGAATCTGTGCCTTTGTCACGTGGGTTCAGCCTTCAGCAGGGTCTGGGTGAGAATCTCATGTAATTAAAACTGTTGCTAAGCAACACAGTGTTGCTCAGTAAATCCAGCTAAACCCATTTCCTCTTCCTTGGAGCCTCAGCTGAAGCAGTGTGCAATGACCACCTGAGGAAAGAGCAGGTTTCTGTCTTGTGTGACTCAGTTTACCCCTGGGCACATGCTCACAGAGGCTCATGAAAGGTGGACTTTCCCAGAGAGAAAGGAACCTTCCTTTCTCTCCCCACCTACCCTTGTCTCTCTGAAAGTATATGCCTTCCCTAAACACTCCATACTGCCTTCTAGTCTTGGCTTCTTTTGTCCCTTAAGATTTATGAAAGTCAGTCAACTGAAGATGGACTTTTTGAGATTTCTAGTAGATATATTTTCTTTCTGTCACAGGCAAGAAAATAAATAGTCCTTTGTGTAGGTGTCTGGAATCACTGAGCCTTTGTAGAAAACTACCCTGCCTAGTAACCTGTTCCTACTTTCAGCAGAGATTAGACGTGGCTGGGAATTCATCATCAGAGCTGGGTTCCTCTCAAGTGTCACATTCAAAATGCTAGCACCGAGTAACAGGACACCCTGGGCCTGGGCATTAAGGATGTATCACATTTACTTCCAAGTCTAACTTCCTTGTTCTTGAGGCTATCAGCTCCGTCTTAAGCCCCACGTGTGTATGGTGTTGGTGGTGTTTATAACTTGAAGCCCATGTATGTAGAGCGTGTCTGACCTGCAGACTGGTTCACCCCACACCTGCCGTGATGACCTAGAAGTGGAATGAGGACACCTGTGCCTTCTGCAGGATTCACTAGTTACTCAGGGCCCTTCAATGGCTTGAGAACCAAAAGTTTGAGATTATATGATCTTGGGAGCAGGCCTAGCTGGCCCTCCATCTTCTCCTCACTAAAATGGAGGTTAGCTGGCTTGTATTTCACAGAGCTATTACGAGGGTGACACAGGATACCACTGAGTGCTCGGTAGATGGTGGTGCTCCTTGCCACTGTTGTCATCTTGCTGCATTCCTGAGACCAACAAGAGTCACTGAGAGGTGCCGAGGAGAAGGGCATCTGCTGTTTAATGAGCTTCATCCTCCCTCTCCGCCTCTGCTCAAAGACTCTAAGCCTCTTCTCTACCAACTGGTACTAGGCTCTCCTTTGTCCCCAGTCTATGGAAATTTTTACAAAACATTGTGTAGAAAGGCAGCTGAGCCCTAGAGTCCTCCAGCCTGGCAGCTGAACTGAACTTTGTCTTCTCGGATTGGTTCCCAGTAGTAGCTCAGCCCAGTGAAATAAGTAAAACCAAGGCAGGAGCATGCAGTGGGAAAGGAGGCCTAGCTGAGCTTCATTCACTCCCTGGGTCATCTGGGCAGTCATTGGGCAGACAAGAGAGAGTGCCTGGCCAGAAGTGAGGAGACACGAGTCATAACCAGCAGTGCCTACTCACACCGGCAATCCCAGCATCAGAAGGGTGAGGTGGGACTGGTGCGAGCCCAGGTTACACCATACTACTTAGTAAGACTGTCTAAAACAGAGTCATGTGGCCAGTGCCCTGGGTTTGGATCCCGCAGTTCCTATCTTTTGCTTTAGAATGACATGTTACATAGACCAGCTGAACACTTGGTATGACATGAAAACTCACCAAGAAGTGACCAGCAGCCGCCTCTTCTCAGAAATCCAGACCACCTTGGGGACTTTTGGTCTGAATGGATTGGACAGGCTTCTGTGCTTCATGATTGTGAAAGAGCTACAGGTGAGCCTGGGCCCACATCGGTCACTCCTCTCACTGCTGTGGTAAAATGTCTAACAAGAGCAACTTAAGGAAGAAAGGCTATAGTTTGGTTCACACTTTGAGACTCTAGTCTGTCATGGTAGAGAAGGCCTGGCATCCAGATTGGTCACAAGAGTATGAGGCAGCTGGTCACACTATTCCTGTGTAGCTAGGAAGCAGATATCAATGGACATCTGCTTGGCCCACTTTCTGTCCTAAGTCAGTCTTGAACCCCAGGTTTTGGGAAGGGGTCGCTCACACTGTGTGAGGCACGGATGATTGGACTAGATAGAGAGTAAGCTACAACTTCTTTGGCGAGTGTTGTAATTTTATAGGTACATTGTTTGAGTTAATTACAACTTGGGAAAGCGAGACTTGGTTTTGAAGCCTTAACTCCTCCTTACAGCCTCTGCCCTTAGTAAAAACCTGAGTACCTGCTCCCTTCCCATTTGGGGCCGTGTAACCTAGACATGTGATGTTTACACAGTATCTGAGTTAACATGAGTGTTGCTTTGTTATGTTTACATTTTGATTGTGACTTCTTGTTTGTAGAATTTCCTCAGTATGTTTCAGAAAATTATCCTGAGAGAGAGAACTGTTCAAGAAACTTTAAAAACACTCATGAGTGCTGTCAGCCCTCTAAGAAGCATAGTAGGTAAGTGTCTTGAGACTCCCCAAGGCTGACAGAAAGGTACTGTAGCCTTCCTGAATTGACTGGATTAAGATTATATTTTAACTTTCAGCAAATTCAAGTAAAGTGTATCTTTCTGCCATCACCAAAACACAGAAGATCTGGAGTGCTTACCTGGAGGCTATAATGAAGGTATGCTCTGGGGGCGGGGTAATCGATACTGTGTACTGAAGGTATGCTATGGGGGCGGGGTAATCAGTACTGTGTACTGAAGGTATGCTTTGGAAAACAGGGATAATCAACACTGTAGTTTGTAAATTATTATTTTCCTATGACTTTATGGTTTATGAAAACCCATTCCTTCCTTTTGTCATTAAAGCTGAACTCCATGATTTCCTTATTGCCCACACCATTCATTCCTTTATCCTTCTTTCTGGAGCTGCCACTGACTAGGCCTTTCATGGATGGACACACAGCTTCCTGTGTGCTCAAGAAAATGTGTTCTTTCTGAACTGCCTCCAGTCAGAGGTACTCCTGAACAAGGAAATGGGAATTTTCCTCCAAGTTCATGCAGTGCTCTGATCTATCGAGTTATAGACCAAATTTATTCCTCATGGCATTACAAGAGTGCATTTGTTCCTCTCCCCGCTGTGTCTCTCTGCCTGGATGTCAAGAAGCAGGAATTACTGGGCGCATAAATTATCCATATGCTATGAATAAAACATCATGCCTTTGGAAATGAGGAATAAAGACAAATGAGGCAATTGAATATTCAGATGGAAGGCAGCTTGTTTTAGAATCCGGTCTCCTACTGTATCTAAGTGAGGGTGCAGTGATACCTCTGACCTCAGCTGTTCCCTGGTGTTAAAAACAGTTATTGCTGATATAAAGCTGCTGTGGCTGTTGCTCAGGTGGTACAGAGAGAAGAGCCAGAGGCAGTTACAGTGCACCAAAGTTGCCATGGCTACCTGGGAGACAGTATAGCAGACAGGTGACAGCCAAAGGCACATCCCTGAAAGTCTCTCCAGGTTGGTTTGCACACTGCTGACTGCTCTCAGGTGCCCCAGGTGCCACCTCTTCACTCGCTCTCTCTCTCATTCTCAGGTTGGACAGATGCAGATCCTGAGACAACAGATTGCCAATGAGCTGAACTCTTCCTGTCGATTTGATTCCAGACATCTGGCAGCTGCTCTGGACAATCTCAATAAGTAAGTGCCAGGGTTGAGACAGCCACCTGTGGGCCTTGGCTGCCCGCCTGGGTGCCCAGCACCCAGGTTCACATCTTCTTCATTTAAGGTCTTTGGGTTTTTAACAGGTATTGCTCACATAATACACAGCACTAGTAGCCCCACCTTAGCTGTTGTTACTAGAATTTCCAAGAGGTGGAATCTAAAGAACTAAGCAGTGGTTAACCAGAGAGCAGGGGAAAGCAGGCTATCATATCCTGGGGTGCACACATACTGCTCCCCACCAAACAGCTGCTCTCATTTCTTTCTGCGCAGATAAACAATCCAAGTTTCTCCATTTCAGAGTCACCTCTTCTAAGAAAATAAGTCTTAGAAACATTCTAGCCAGCTCATAAAAACAGTTGACTAGTGAGGGGCTGGAGAGATGGCTCAGCTGTAAGGGCACTCGTTGCTGTTTCAGAGGAGCAGCGTTTGGTTCCCAGCGTCTTGTCAGATGGCTAACAACCACCTGGAACTCAGGCTCCAGGGGATCGGAGACCCTCCCCTGGCCTCCATGGGCAGGCACACACAAACGTACAGGCAAACACAAGCAAATAATTTTTTTCATAATCTCAGTAGCGAAACCACTTGGTTTAACTTGACTCCAAGAGACAGTAACTCTAGGTAAGATTTCACAGTGACACACAGTCAGAGGCCTGCAGACCAGGAGACAGAAGGACAAGACGTGGTTGCAGATGTATAAACTCAGCTGCCCACTCATGTTTGTCACTGTTTCTCTCCTCCTTTAGGGCTCTCCTGGCTGACATCGAAGCCCACTATCGAGACCCTTCGCTTCCTTACCCCAAAGAAGATAACACACTCTTATATGAAATCACAGCCTATCTGGAGGCAGCTGGCATTCACAACCCCCTGAATAAGGTTAATGACTAAATATAAAAATGGAGGGGGGTGTGGAGGGGTGTTACAGGGTTGTGTGGTATAAAAGGTGAGTTTGTCTATATAACAGATCACTGTGAAAATATTCCAGAAACCTATATTCAGCCCTCAGAACCCCTTTTAGAAAACGTTCTGACCTTTCTAAAAGATGTCACCTCCCTGGCTGTCAGACTGATGTGATTTAGGTCAGGGTTCTGGAGAAGTGGAAGTAAAGTGTCAGTGCAGGTTCACCTGGGACTTAGATGGTCACACGACTCTGTCTTGCTTGCACTTCCCCGATGACCATGAGGAATTGCAGTTACAAGTGCCGGGCTCCACATTGTACAGCTCCAAGCCCCAGAAAGCACTGATGTTCCTCCGAAGTCAGTGCCAGGTGTCGAAGGGCGGTACCTGTCCTGAACTGTACTTTCAATGTCTCTTCCTTGGCATGAATATTACATGTGTTCTTGCAGAAACGTGACCATTTTAGATAGTTACCCTGGTTACTTTAGAAAATTTTAAAGTGTAATAATAAGATCCTGTCCGAGAATAAAGCTAAAATGAAAAACCTAAAGGGCAGCTGGCATCCGAGTGCTCTGTGCTAAGGAGTCCCATCAAAAAGGCCATCTTTGGGCAAGGATCCTGAGGTTTGAAGGGATCCAGGACTTCCCCAGTCTCCTCACTAATGGGGGAGCTAGCCAGTGTCTAGCCTGGGGTCTGAATTAGCGTGCTTCCTTGTCTTATGTGGACTGAAGGCCAGCTGAGGGATGGCATGCCTTTGTCTGCCCTGAGTTTTCTGCCATGTTAACTGGGTGGGAGACTGCCTGGGGAAAGCATATGACAAAGGAGGACTGGCTTTTTCCTCAGCAGTTGCTGTCACGCCCTGCTCTCTGCCACCTGGATCTTTTCCCTTTGCCTTTCCATCTCCTTCACTACTCTTTTTTAAGATGTAGCTTATGTGCATGAGTATTTGCCTATATGTACGTATGTGTACCATGTATGTGCCTGACACCCAAGATGATCAGAAGATGCTATGTCAGGTCCCCTGGAAGTAGTGTTAAGGACAATTGTGAGCCACCTTGTCAGTGCTGGGAACCGAACTTGAGTCCTCTGAAGCACAGCCCCGGTCAGCTGCTGAGTCCTGGTTCCAGCGCACAGCTTCCCTGTTCTTGACTTTGCTGGCCGCTGCCATTCTTGCTCATGCCTCTTGTCCCTCCCTTTAGAGGTGATATTAAGAGGATTGGGGGTGAGGGACCTCTAATCTCTGAGCAGAGCTCTTCGTTCCAAGGAGAGCTGAAGGGCTAAAGCATGTAGGTGTGCAGAGCACAGGGGAGTGAATCTCCAAAAGCAGCAAAAGACCGCAAGCCCCAGAAAGCACTGATGTCCCTCAGAAGTCAGGGCCAGGTCTCCAAGGGCAGTGCCTGTCCTGAACTGTACTTCGGAGGCGTCAGAAAAGCAAATTAAAGGCATATCAGAGCGTTCCGTTTGAAACGGTGTTCTGTGGTATTCTGTAAGATGAAGAAACTATCCCTCTTTCTTATCTTTCTCTTTCCAGATTTACGTAACAACGAAGCGCTTACCCTATTTCCCGATCGTCAACTTTCTGTTTTTGATCGCGCAGTTGCCAAAACTTCAGTATAACAAGAATCTAGGTATGGTGGATGCCAAAGTTTTGCTTTGTAATAAACAAGCAGTAGATCAATGTCTCCAGACACAGCTCTGACTATATTGCTGTGTCATACATACATCAGACCTTTTCATAACCAAATACACATGAATGAAATAGTCTCATTGCGCCACTGCAGTAGAGTATCACTGATGGAGTGTACACAGTGGGTACTTAGCCAAGTGCACCTGCCTCCTGCAGAATGTGAGGCGTCTTTACTTGGCTCTCCTCAGTCAGTGCCCACGTAGCTGTGATTATGGTGTGTAAGAAACTTCTTTATGTGCATGTTCTGTTCGTACAAGTGTCCATGTGCTGCTGCCTACCTGGACTATGTCATAGGAGTTCCAGTGTAGTTAAGGAGAAGGGACTGATGCATGAGCATCTCAGACTGTCATGTACACATGACTACATGCTGGAACATTTGATACAGACACATCAAAGCTTTCGATGTAGGTGTCCTGGCTAATGATACTACTTACTTTTTTGTTGACCGGTTTATTGTGAGCATCTCTGTAATTACCTAGGAGATTCCCAGGTTCATCCTCTGTCTCTAGACTTTACATCTAACTAAGCAGGGTTTTTTTTTTTTTTTAATCCTTTATAACACTTAATTGGTTTTAATATTACCTAGCATACAGCCATTCGTTCAGTAGCACTATAAGAACATTTCTACAAGTAAGAGTGTATGATTCCTTTCTTAAACACTTCAAAATGTATCTCTTCTTTACTTTCCTTCCTGTCTCCTAAAATGTTTTTAAAGTAAAATTGTGGCTTCTGTTTAGGGCCTAACATTTAAAAGTTTTTGGTTTTAGTTTGTTTTTTGTTTTGTTTTTGTGATTGTTGTTGTTTTGGTTTGTTTTTTATTCCTCTCATTCAGAAATACTCACTAGTTCTAGGCCTCGTTCCTCTGACAGTTCCTGTTAGTGCCCCCCGTTGTCAGGCGTGGCCCTTTGAGCAGTACTCGCTGTGGAAAGGAGGCACAGTGTTGCTTGAGTTCTGCCTTGGCCCCTTCCCACCAGTGCTCACAAGCGCTGCGTTCACCTGTTTATAGTGGTGGAACCAACTAAAGGCCGTCCCATGATAGTCGGACACTGAGTCTTAGGTTTAGAAACAAGCATCACTCAGAGGACCCTGTGACTATTCAGTGTTTTCTGGAAGACTTTGCTTTGCCAGTTCATTTTTAGAAAAGTCTGTAGTTTTAGCTTTTGCACTATGTTTATGAACCATCCAAGTTATTTTTCCCCTCTGGTGTAATGTGGGGGGCAGGTTCATCTTCTTCCCCTTTCCCCTCCACGAAGCTATCCAATTTCAGCATCGTGTTAACAAGATTAACATGCTTAAATTGCATTAAATTGCTTGTTGTATTTGTAGAAAGTCTGTGGATCATCTGATGGTCAAACCGTCTGGACTCCGCTGATGCACTGATCTGTCTTCATGGCAGCACTGCTGAGTGTAGCTTTATAGCCTCACAGGCAGCTGCTATACATCTAACATGTCCACATGCTCCCAAACCCAAACGGCCCTAAACATCAGTCCTCCTCAGCATAGCCATGCAGGCAGGTCCAGCTTTTACAGATGTCCTGAGTGAGGGACCAGAGCGTGGTGTACAGGCTCATCTCAGCCATCCTTCTTCCACTCACTTGACCTCAGCAGATTCTGTTCTTATCAACACTCAAAACTGTTGTGCACCGGGCAGTGATGGTGCACACCTTTAATCCCAGCACTTGGGAAGCAAAGGCAGGCAGATTTCTGAGTTCGAGGCCAGCCTGGTCTACAGAGTGAGTTCCAGGACAGCCAGGGCTACACAGAGAAACCCTGTCTCGAAAAACCAAAAAACAAAAAAAAACAAAAACATTTGTCGTGTAACATTAAGTTTTAAAGCATTTTAACCTGAATTTTAGCTGATTTGATTTAGTAAGATGCTTCTGGGTATCTAGAATGCCATGCTGCCATTAACTGAAGTCAGTTTGAGGTGATTTTTGTTTTTTTATTCACGTTACTGTACATCTTAAGTCTCTATCATAGAGGGTATTAATAGTGCAAAACAAATAAACAGTAATGATAAAAACTAAACCCTTCAGACCATTAGAATGCTCTCCCAGCCCCATGGCTAGTTTAAGAGATAGCCCTGAATTACTGCTTCCTCAAAATACTCACCTGCCAGCAGTGATGGCATTGATGAGGGCTGACATTTAGTAGACACTGTCAAAAGCAAGCAGTTCACTGGCTGTTGTAACTTGTTCCCTCACAGGCATGGTCTGTCGGAAACCTGCTGACCCTGTTGACTGGCCACCACTCGTCCTGGGCCTGCTGACTCTGCTGAAGCAGTTCCACTCCCGGTACACTGAGCAGTTCCTGGCGCTGATTGGTCAGTTTATTCGCTCCACAATGGAGCAGTGCACAAGGTACGGAGGGCCAATCAGAAATAATGGAACTTAGTGTCACAAAAAGGGACTGCAACCTCTCACGACAAATCCTTCTCATTGCTGTCCTGACAGGAGTGGGGTGGTGCTTCAGTTCTACAACCAAGTCGGGGCACCTGCCCAAGAAGCAAGCACCCAAGTGTTTATCCTTTGTCTCCCCCCCCCACCTCCCCGGCAGGAAATGCCCTGTAGTTGTACTGGCAGGGGCTTTGGAAGACTGGATCTTTTGTTTGTTTGTTTGTTTGTTTTGTTTTGTTTTTCGAGACAGGGTTTCTCTGTGTAGCCCTGGCTGTCCTGGAACTCACTCTATAGACCAGGCTGGCCTCGAACTCAGAAATCTGCCAGCCTCTGCCCCCCAAGTGCTGGGATTAAAGGCGTGCGCCACCACCGCCCGGCAGTAAGACTGGATCTTGACGGAGATTAGGAGACAGCATGAGAGAGCAAGCGCGGACCTGTGCCTCTGCCATGTTGGCTCCGGCTCTCAGGGTGGAGTAAGCCCTGCAGTCCTGCTCCTCTACCGCTAAGACATGGCTCTCCACACCAAAGGGGAGTCACACTCCTCAATGTGACCACACCAGGACACGTTCCACACATGAAGGGGGATGATTCCTCAGTGTCAAGGCCAGGGGAAAGTGTCTAACAAGACAGGGCTCACAGGTTGCTGTTCGGTAACAAACGTATAAGCCTTCCTTTTCTGCTCCTTTGCTCCCTTCTGTGCACTTGGGGCTTCGCTAGGATAGAACAAACCAACTGCCCCCAAGCTCCCTCCTCTGCTGCCTGAAAGGGTCAGCCTGGCCCAACGTGAACTTAGCAGATTGCCATTAGCTTGTTTTTGCCAATATAACAGATCATTCTGCTCTGCTATGACCTTGTATGCGTCAGGCAAGAGCTCTGAAGCTGAGCCACGTCCCAGCCCTCCTTTTACTCCTCAAGACGTTGTCTCACTGTTTCCCAGTCTGGCCCTGAATTCAGTCTATAGACCAGGTGGACATTGTATTTGGAATTTTCCTGCCTCTGCCTCCAGAGTAGATGGCATTGCAGATCTGGTACCACCAGTCCCAGCTACTCATTTACTTCAGATGAGTGTGCAAACCAATGTAGCTGAAGGCTGAGAGGATGGGGCAGCGTGGAAGCTGACAGGTGTTGATTGCCTCATGGAGTCTGAAGGACATCCACAGGAGATGACTCTAGAGTGTAGACCTGTCTGTCCAGACTCTAGACAGACTGCAGGACCATATTATAAGCCAGAGACAAGGTTAGGATTGGCTTTGCTTTTCTTTAGTTACATGTATTTGCCTGTGTGTGTACATGTGTGTACATGTTCCACTCAGTGCAAGCATGCAGAGGTCAGAAGACAACCTCTGGGGAGCCAGTTCTCCTCTTCCTTCATGAGTTCTGGGCATGAAGCTCAGGCCATCACACTTAGAGGCAGGTGCCTTCACCCCTGATCGACAGCTCCTGGTTAGCTTGTTTCCTGCAGTCTTGGTTCCTAAATAAAAGCAGGTTAATTACTTCTTCATAGGAATCAAGGGGGTGCCCTGTGGGTTTGTTGCAGATATGGTATACTGCTCATTAGTCAGGTAAGGGCATGTTAGCATACAGTGCAGCTAGCTGACCCAGACTTCTTTTACAGCCAGAAGATGCCTGAGATGCCTGCAGATGCTGTGGGTGCCCTTCTGTTCCTGGAGGATTATGTTCGGTACACAAAACTCCCCCGAAGGGTAAGCCAGAGACAGTAAAAGCTGACAGTAATGACCTAGCCACAGGCTGTAGGGACAGCAGCCCTGGGCGGACTAGGACTGAGGTCCTGTAGGTCCTCAGCAGATGCCTCACCCCTACCACTGCTGCAGCCTGCACTCAAATGCACAGTAGAGGGCTTCTGTCTCCCTCCTCTCCACCCACTTAAGGGCCAGCTCAGTGAGGTGAGCAGGCAGGGAAGGGATTCTTAACTGGCCAGGGAAAAATGATATGTTCTTCCCATAAGAACAAAGCTTGTTCTTTCTCTCCATAACAACCAAGTACCCACAGCACTTTAAGTCCAGACCACAGCCAACACTATGTATGGCCACTGCTTCTAGTCATGAAGAACTGCTTTTTACCTTCTAGGGAGTTTCTTCTTTGCCCTCCTTAATAATATCAACCTTAGGAAGTTTAAACACAAAGGAAAGTTTGAGTTCAGAAGTGTAAAGACCTGGGCTGGGGAGATGGCTCAGCAGTGGTTAAGAGCGCTAACTGCTCTTCCAGAGGTCCTGAGTTCAATTCCCAGCAACCATGTAGTGGCTCACAACCATCTGTAATGGGATCTGGTGTGTCTGAAGACACCTACAATGTACTCATATACATAAAATAATTCTTTAAAAAAAAAAAAAAGAAGAAAGAAAAAAGAAATGTAAAGACCTGTAACAAATGCTGGAAGGAATGATTTTTGTTGTTGTTGTTTTTAAAAATTAATAGGTTAAGAATAGAGTCCAGCAAAATGGATTGTCAGGTAGAGGTACTTGCCACCAAGCCTGACAATCTGAGTTCAGCACCCATGTTACTAACACCAGTGGCTGGCAGAGTTTACATGAATTATGATGCAGATCGGTTAGCAGACACCTAGACAAATATATACCAGCATAACTTCCTCACTGTAACTCAAAGAGAAGAAAAAGGCAAATATTCAGATTTACTCTCTAAATAGTGCTAGGTTAAATGCTGTCAACCGCCTCTCTAAAAACCAAGAGATGAAACAGGAACTATTATCTATAAACTGACGAAATGGACATTTCCTTGATTGATAATGTTCTGTTCAGTAGGGAGATGGGTAAAGGATATTAACAGACAGTTTAGTGAATTACAAGCAGGGTAAACATTTGGGAAAGGCTTGGCCCTGCTTACACCTAGGATGCAAACCAAGCTAGACTCAAGTGAGATGTTGGCTCTGTGCTTGGAAGGGTTTAGTCTCCATGCTGTGAATGGGCAAATAGCAACCTCATCCTTTAAGGGGTATTTAGCTTGGTCCTTTAAATCTTCGATGGTGTAATTACCCCAGAGACCCAAAATTCCACTGCTAGGAATTTTCCTGCTAGAGATTAACATACACAATATACATGCGCAGATGTTCACCAATACATGTGCAGGGGTATGCATAGATTTTGTGGAAGTATCATGAGATTGCAAGTTCCATCAGCCCTTCCCATAATGAGCTGTATCTGCAGCTGGTTGTGTCTTGCTTCTAAATGCCCCTTTCACCTAACCTCGTGGTTAAGTCTCTATTTAAATGTCTTTAATAAGATCTTTATGCTCATTGTCACACATGCACACACAAACACACACCAACAGTGTTTTTCCAATCTAGCTCAGAGATCACCTGTTCCATTCCCCCACCCCCACCTCCATGCCACTGTCACTAAAAGCAGTTAAGGAATGCAGGCCTTTCAAGGCCTTCCTGTTCTCCGGCCTCAGAGTTCTCCTTATTGTCTGTCTCATTGGCATAATCCTAGATCCAAATGCCACTAGGAGCCAAGCCTGCTTGTGGAGACAGCGGCCTCCCCCCTCAGGTGGTGGTGTGTCCTGGTGCACTGTAAGGAGACACTAAGACCAGTTTACCTGTGCTCATTCCAGTGCTTCACCTTCCTCCAACAGATACTTTCACTTCTTGAATTTTCGTATGTAAAACTGTGAGTTTCTTCATCGACAATGCTATAATTTAATTTCTGCCTAATATTCCAGGTGGCTGAGGCTCATGTGCCTAACTTCATTTTCGATGAATTCCGAACAGTCCTGTGACTTCCTTCTCCTGCTTCAGTGACAGGATACTCTGTGATTAAAATGAACTTGGAAGTGAAGATACTTGACTCCTCATGCAACTTGCATTTCCCCCCTTTGTGGGAATCAGCCATTCTAAGGAAGATGGCTCTCAGCTCTAATACATTGTTTAAATCATGGCATCATATGGAATTTTTATCATGTAGAAGCAGAACTGTTTTATACTTGCCCCTTCTAAATGCTCAGTGTAACTGATGGATGAAGCCATTTTGTCTTATGTTCTAAACAACTATTTGTGCAACTCCAGATCTTTAGTAAAACAGCATTGCCGGTAGTGAGTTGTCCTGCTTATGATGGAAAACTGACACCCTGTAAGAAACCTGCAACAGACTGGGGTGGGGGTGAGGCTCCACCCACTGTAGGTCTCTAGTGACCACTGACAGCCCAACAGTAAACTCAGTTCATGTCCTACTTGCTGTCTTCTGAGGTTTCCCATCTTCTAGTCCCAGACACCCTGGGGTCCCAGAAGCTCCTCTAGGGCTCCCTGTGCTGGCTATTCTTCCAGCTTCTGCCCAAGCCAGACAACCAGGTTGCTAGCCATAGGATTTTCTATCTGGGAGATGGTAGGGCCAGGGGCGGGGCTGTAAAGGTTTAGTGATAAACTTTTTGGTTATACATGAAAATTCCTCTGCAAGGGAGTTGCCATCCACTAGGATAACGTAGAATCCAAGACACGGCAGGAGTCTCAGCCGGAACCTATAGCTAGTAGAACCCCTGTGGTTACAACAAGGAAGGAAACAGAAGCTGCTTAGAGCTCCAGGTTGAGCAAGAGACCCGTCTGAAATACACATAATGTGAAGTGAGAGTAGAGAAAACACATGATGTCAGCCTCAGTCTCCACATGAACGTACCTATATCACATCCATGCATGCTGAAAACATGCGTGCACACAATAAATGATAAATATTTGACAACTACCACACTTTCTACCCCACTTGGGTTATCTTTTTTCTGTGACCATGAAGCTACATAAAGATATCTACAACAAAAACCGAAAGAACGTTAAAAGAGTTCACTCTTCATTTTATTAGCTTGTCCCAGTGAGGCACCCCAAATACTGAAATCAAAAGAAAAACTTGAGTGTTAGCATAATATGTGGAAACAATCATTCTTCTAAACATCTAGCTTATTTGACCCTTCATTTTCAATTGTAAATTAAGGCATATATTTACACGCTTATACACAGCTTGGTCCTTGAGTGGCCACTGTGGAAGTCATACAGTTCTATGTACATCCTCTTCAAGTCTCAGTGGACTTGACTTCCAAGTGGTTTTCCTTTCAATGAACCAGATACTTCATTTCTGAGTAGATGAGAGGAAATATTATAGAGCACGCTTTGTACAGTACAGCACCACTACTGAAAAGGGCCCGTGGTTTTGTAGCCCACGGCTCTGATTTGAAGCAGAAATATGTGGCATAGACTGCAACGGAAAAGAAGTGTCGAATCAACAGCAGAGGGTGAGGAGATAGTCTGAAATAGAAAAGGAACGGATTGTTAAAATTAGTCATCAAGGTTCAAATGATGTGTCACCAATAAAGGCTTAACATACTCTGCACTCTACATCTGAGGAAGTTCATCTGCCTGTCACAGTCAATGACAAGAATGAATTTTTAAATTATAAAGAAACTACTTAGAAGAAATGACCACTTTGAGAAACTGGTGGCCACACTCATTCCTAAGTCTTAGTTTTCCTGCTGTTTTCTTCCACTATTTTTTTTTGGGGGTGGGGGGGGGGTTTCGAGACAGGGTTACTCTGCGTAGTTCTGGCTGTCCTGGAACTCACTCTGTAGACCAGGTTAGCCTTGAACTCAGAAATCCACCTGCCTCCGGCTCCCAAGTGCTGGAATGAAAGGCGTGTGCCACCACCGCCCAGCTTTCTTCCACTATTCTTGAGATCCAACATGAAGCCTGCAGCAGTCTGGGTTTGGTATCAGAACTGATATTCTGATTGTAGGTGTTTAATTACAGGTGCCTTGAAGAATTTCCCTTCTCAGTCTTCCTAAGTATATGTTTGCATTAGCAAAACTACTACTAAATTTCAAGCCTGTAAGATTAATATTTGAATTCAGAGTTCTGAGTTATTCTTGGTTCCTGTGGGTCAGACAAGCAAAGACATCAGAGGGGAAAACCAACCATCAAGTTTACTCAAAGGTCTAGCATCTCAGTCCACCAGTTCTCAGTGTGTCTGCATCAGGACTGCACAGTGCCAAGTGCTGCTCTGTGTTCATTTCCTGAGGCCATTTTTTTAAAGATTTATTTAGCTGGGCAGTGGTAGCGCACGGCTTTAATCACAGCACTTGGGAGGCAGGTGGATTTCTGAGTTGGAGGCCAGCCTGGTCTACAGAGTGAGTTCCAAGACAGCCAGGGCTACACAGAGAAACCCTGTCTCGAAAAACCAAAACAAAAAAATTTTATTTTTATGTATACGAGTACACTGTAGCTGCCTTCAGACACACCA